GGCCTCTTGTTTTTGCTCTGTTTATTCTTTTTTATTTATTATTCTTAGCCCGCTTTGAATGGCCTTTTGGGGACCTTATCATTCCCCAAAACTCACAATATTTTGCAAACATGTCAGGCCTGGTGAAAAATTTGATATTTTAAAGGTCCCAAAAAAATCGCACAGGAAATGACTGAACAGCGCCCCCTAGAAAGTGAAAAAAAAACCCTCCCCATAAAGCTTAGTTTATCGTACAGTTATGAAATTTGGTACACTTGTAGTACTCAACAGTCCGCACAGAAAAGTCTCTTGCAAGCATGGTCAATATCAAACAGGAAGTCGGCCATTTTGGGTTGAAATGGCGATTTTTTGCAGTTTTGGCCGTTTTTAGGGTCCGTTTCTGACCGGATTGCTCGATCACTTTTCGCACAATCGTCTCAAAAGTGGTGTAAAATTGCTCAGAAGAGATGGGCGAAAAAAATGAGACAAGGATTCTGAGTTTTCGTATATGTTGAAGGGGCGGGGCCAGGCCTCAAAGTTTGACTACTCGCCAATTTTTTTTAAATTGCTATAACTTCATAACTGAATGGAATAGAGTTACCAAACTTTCTGTGGTCATTCGTCATCCACCCACAAAGTAAAATAAATGGTCGGATGATGACATCACACAAGCCCCGCCCCCTCAGGACCAAAAAGGTCAAGTTTTACTGTGAAAGGTCCCAAATTGCCCCATTTCACTTAATCACCAAATATTTGTAGCTGGTAACTCAAGACAAGTGGAGGTTGCTTGGCGTCACTTTATGGGAGTTTTCGGCAGAGGGCGGGGCTGTGGCGGCGCGGCGAAGTCAGGCGTACCGCTGTGGCCTTACGTTTGCCTCCCATTTCGTCATTTCTAAAGATATCGTCATGAAACTTCTTGTGAGTGATCCTAGTCCAGCCCCCCAAAAGATCTGATGTGAACATCCGGTGGGCGTGGCCTATTTTCTGAAATAGCGCCCCCTAGGACCATTAAAACTGTCAGCCCCAAGCCATGCTTTGACTGAGGATTACGAAATTTGGTACACTAATGTGGTGTCTCAGGCCCTACAAAAAAGTCTCTTGGAGCCAAGTGCAAAGTCGCACAGGATGTCGGCCATTTTGGTCCAAGTACGCGATTTAGTGGTTTTCGCACACGTTGTTTGGAGAGTGATGCTCCGTCGCCCTTTTCACCAATCGCCTTCAAACTTCTGCCATATACTCTTAAGTCATAGGGGAAAAAATTCAACCGTCGGATTTTTCAAAAGTTGAAAGGTGTGGGCGTGGCTAAGCCTCAAACTTTGACCTGTCGCCACGCCACTCTTTTTTTCACAGCTCCCTACTGGACTCCTTTTACCCAATCAGCAAGAATCTCTGGCAAATAGCAGTAGACAACTTGAGGTCACTTGGTATCCAGCACTGGCAGGTTTCAGAAAAAGGCGGGGCTTTGGGAGCATGGCGAAAATCGCCATCACGCCATGGAAATACGTTTGCCTCTCATTTCTTCAGTTATCGTGATATTGCTACGAAACTTATGGGGAGTGATCCTAGTCTGACTCTCAAGAGACATAGACATCTGAATTTTGTGGGCGTGGCCTATGTTTTGAAATAGCGCCCCCTAGGACCATTTAAACTATTAGCCCCAAGCCATGCTTTGACTGAGGATTACGAAATTTGGTACACTAATGTGGTGTCTCAGGACCTACAAAAAAGTCTCTTGGAGTCAAGTTCAAAGTCGCACAGGAAGTCGGCCATTTTGGATCAAGTACGGGATTTAGTGGTTTTCGCACACGTTGTTTGGAGAGTGATGCTCCGTCGCCCTTTTCACCAATCTCCTTCAAACTTCTGCTATATACCCTTAAGACATAGGGGAAAAAATTCAACCGTCGGATTTTTCAAAAGTTGAAAGGTGTGGGCGTGGCTAAGCCTCAAACTTTGACCTGTCGCCACGCTACTCTTTTTTTCACAGCTCCCTACTGGACTCCTTTTACCCAATCACCAGGATTCTGTGGCAAACAGCAGTAGACAAGTTGAGGTTACTTGGTCTCCAGTACTGGCAGGTTTTGAAAAAAGGCGGGGCTTTGGGACCATGGCGAAAATCGCCATCACGCCATGGAAATACGTTTGTCTCTCATTTCTTCAGTTATCGTGATATTGCTACGAAACTTCTGGTGAGTGATCCTAGTCTGAGCTCCAAGAGAAATAGACAGCTGAATTTTGTGGGCGTGGCCTATGTTTTGAAATAGCGCCCCCTAGGACCATTTAAACTATTAGCCCCAAGCCATGCTTTGACTGAGGATTACGAAATTTGGTACACTAATGTGGTGTCTCAGGACCTACAAAAAAGTCTCTTGGAGTCAAGTTCAAAGTCGCACAGGAAGTCGGCCATTTTGGATCAAGTACGCGATTTAGTGGTTTTCGCACACGTTGTTTGGAGAGTGATGCTCCGTCGCCCTTTTCACCAATCTCCTTCAAACTTCTGCTATATACCCTTAAGACATAGGGGAAAAAATTCAACCGTCGGATTTTTCAAAAGTTGAAAGGTGTGGGCGTGGCTAAGCCTCAAACTTTGACCTGTCGCCACGCTACTCTTTTTTTCACAGCTCCCTACTGGACTCCTTTTACCCAATCACCAGGATTCTGTGGCAAACAGCAGTAGACAAGTTGAGGTTACTTGGTCTCCAGTACTGGCAGGTTTTGAAAAAAGGCGGGGCTTTGGGACCATGGCGAAAATCGCCATCACGCCATGGAAATACGTTTGTCTCTCATTTCTTCAGTTATCGTGATATTGCTACGAAACTTCTGGTGAGTGATCCTAGTCTGAGCTCCAAGAGAAATAGACAGCTGAAGTTTGTGGGCATGGCCTATATTCTTAAATAGCGCCCCCTAGAGCCATTAAAACTGTCAGCCCCAAGCCATGCTTTGACTGAGGATTACGAAATTTGGTACACTAATGTGGGGTCTCAGGACCTACAAAAAAGTCTCTTGGAGCCAAGCGTAAAGTCGCACAGGAAGTTGGCCATTTTGGTGCAAGTACGTGATTTAGTGGTTTTCGCACACATTGTTTGGAGAGTGATGCTCCGTCGCCCTTTTCACCAATCACCTTCAAACTTCTGCAATACACTCTTAAGACGTAGGGGAAAAAATTCAACCGTCGGATTTTTCAAAAGTTGAAAGGTGTGGGCGTGGCTAAGCCTCAAACGTTGACCTTTCGCCATTACTTTACTTGACTTAATAACTCCCATGTGCATGATCAGATCTTTTTCGAACTTTGTCTGTGTGATCATTGACCATATCTGTAAACAATGACAATGTGGACAGCTGACATCACCTAAGCCCCGCCCCCTGACTACAGGAATTTATTTTTTATGCTGAAATGCCCATACTTGTCCCCTCTAATTTAGTCAACATGACCCTAAGGTCATGCACTGTCTTCATGATGCTGTAATGACCATTCAGATCTGATAGCTTTCCAGAAAGGGAGGGGCTTTGATGCCATGGCGAGTTCTGGCGTAACGCCGAAACCTTACAATTCAATTTAATGGTGAGCTCAGAGGGGATGCTAAGTCAGGGTGAGGTGCGGACTAGGAGGCCATTTGCGGTTTCTGGTGTCGGGGTGGTTGACGTTTCTGTTCTGCAAGACATGCCCTGGTGCCCCGGGCTGCCAGCCAGGCCGGAGCGGCGCGGAGCTGCGAGGGCCGAACGACGCTGCTTGCAGCTTTAATTTAAAACTGCTTTTGCTTAAATGTTTGACTTTCACCAACTTTTCAATCTTAATTTTGTGCCCGGCACAGAACTGAAATCAAACTGAAAAACTAATTCAGGGTCAGAAATGTTGCGCGTCAGCCATTCTTACTGGCGACCGGCCGATACGGCAGAACATCTCGGCGTCGGCCATGAAAATCAGCCCCAACTAAATCTGCCATCAGCTGATAATGCCTTCATATCAGAAATCCACATCGGTCCATCTCTAAGAAGCGTCACGAGGAAGTCCTGGAGATCTGGACCCGACCCAACTCCTTAGAGAAGAAGACCACACCTGCTCTGGTCTGAAGTTCTCCTTCGTTGAACGTTCTTGAACATTTTCCCTCCCTTTAGAACATCACGTTTTAACATCTCAGACTACAGATCCAGATGAGTTGCGTCACAGCTCTAGTGGGGCCATCAAGACCTGATTTACAGAAGCAGATGGATTCTTTCTGTGAGCTTTTGGATATTCCCAACCTGGATGCTTAGTCCATGAATCAGAAACCAGAATGTTCATGCATCAAGCAGCTGCATCATCCATCTTTAGGTGAAGGAGACAACCTTCCTGGGAGGTTCTACCATCGACATATATGGGTTAGGGTTAGTCATGAAGTGGAAGAACAAGGATGCAAACGCTTCAGCTGCTGTGTGAACACGAACCAGTGCTGACTGGAGGTCTGGGTCTGATGGAGGAACTCAGAGGAACATCTGAGAGGGTTCTACGGATGATGAAAACCTAAAACTGGACCGAGTTCCCAGAACCTTACTGCAGCCTAACGAACTTCTGTTTTCTGGACGTGGAGGAGGGCGGGGCTCGGCTCTCCAGGTAAACAAACCGAATCCTCCCAGCAGAACCGTGTTTCTGGGCCCGCGCCTCGAACCGGACCGCTGCAGAGGCTGCAGGGAGGCCGAGCCAGCGGCAGGATGTTTTTATTGTGAGGTCGCTCCTCTCCTCCTCCTCCTCCTCCTCCCGCGCGGCCACGCCTGGGCTCGCATGGCGAACCGTTATTATCCTCCATCCTCCGGCCCAGACCAACGGCTGCTGGCGCCGCGGCCCGGCCGCGCGGGGCTGCTAGAGCCTGGGAGGTGACCGGGAACCTGGCCCGCAGGAATCCGGAGACTCGGCGTCGCTAGCCGGGGTCCGGATTGGGTCGAGACCCCCCCGATAGGGAGCGAAGTTAGCGGCGGTCAGAGATTCAGTGCCCCAGCCGTGGAGCTCCAATCACCGCAACATCTAAAGAGAAAGCCATACAGCTTACCGGTTCCGAAGCTCACACCGAACCGAGGCTGACGGGAGGCAGAGTCCGCTAACCGGAGAGCACCGACCGGACCGGAGGAGGGAGGGGGCTCCTGCTGCCGCTGCTGCTGCAGGGAATGACGGGAAAGAATCCGCACTGCCCCCCTCCTCCCTCCCGCGTCTCCTCCTCCCGCCCCATCACAGCGGGTCCGAACTGATCCAGGTTCTGGTAAAGAGTCAGATAACCGGAACCTTTTTGATCCAAACGGTTATGTTCCCGTTGACTCACAAACATCCGGTCTGGCTCTCAGGAAAGTCCCAAACAGAGCTGACCCAGAGGTTTAGGGATTAAGAGAACTTTTAACATCGAAACTGCAAAACACATCCATCCATGTTCATCATGAGCACAACTAGATCTTGTAAAATGTTCTGGCTGAACAAGGGGCAGCAGGAGCTCAGGAGGTGTCAGTGATGCTGCTGTTGTGTCCTTCGGCAAGACACTTAAAGAGCAAGTCACCCCCTAATCAACATATTTTGCTGACAAACTATTACTGAGTGTTTAATCGCGCTGTTGACACTCGGTGTCATTAATTTAGCACTTTAGTGCACCTTTGTTAAAACTTAAATATTCTGCCTAAAACTGTCAACGTTGCGCCCTCTTCAGGTAAAAACTTTGCACCATATTTGTGAGTCGTGGAGGATGGCTGCTTATACTGAGCCAGGATTCTCTGGAGGTTTCTTCCTGTTAAAAGGGAGTTTTCCTCTCCACTGTCGCTGCATGCTTGCTTAGTATGAGGATTGCTGTATAGTCACTGACACTAGTCAGTGACTTGATGCAATTTGCTGGGTTCCTTATATAGGAAACATTATTTCTGATTGGCTTAATGAACTGTGAATTGGAATGTTTATTATGTGAAGTGCCTTGAGACGACTCTTGTCGTGATTTGGCGCTTTATAAATAAACTTGAATTGAATTGAATTTTAAATCTCCCATCACTATTGGCTAAGAGGTATCCTATGATGTTAGCTGGTACCATATGATGCCATAAAGCCACTGTAAGCCTGTATGTGTGTATTTGTTAGTGGCTCCGCCCTCTTGTTCTGCCAGGCAACACCTCCTTGTAGTGCATTTTTAACTCATTAACTGCCATTGACGACAAAAGTTGTCATTTTAAATCCAACCGTTCACTGCCAATGACGAGTAAAGTCGTCATTTGCATTTTTTTACTGTGTGGGCGTTGGAACGAGCCCCTGCACCGTGAGAACAAACAAACCAACTCTAAAGCCGATCTTCATCCGTAGAGCCCACCCCCGGACTTTCGCGTGGGCTTACCTGGGCTACAGCCCTGGGCCCCTGCGTGCTGGAGGCCCCGCCCTCGGTCCAAAAAGCATTTTTATTTTTGTATGTAATTCTCTAACAAGATGTTACCATTTAGCTGAGAAGCACTGGGATTTGTTTTGGCAAACATCTGTCATGACTGCTTATAATTGGTACAAGTTTTTTCACACCTCTTACGTCACGGCGGGCGTTTGCAGCCTGACACACCCCAGTGTGCGGCGGCGGTAGAGCCCATTCCACTGAAACAGCTCTTCTTAACCCGGCTGCACAGTGAAAGCATCAGCGGTGCGGGCTTTTACACTGAAATTGTGTGCGATGTCCTGTCTAGCCCTATGTTAATTGCGGTAACTGATGCATCCCAGAAGCAGCTCGAGGCAAAAATAGAACCCAACCCTATCTTATGCGGTGCGGTGTCTGAAAATTGCCACATCGCGGCTGGTTTGTTACACTCCATAGACCATAACGGATTCTATTTGAAGCAGTGACGTTCCCCTGCCATTCTGCACCACTGATGCTTCCAGTGTGCAGTAGGAGTTGGGGTCTCTAATGACCTTCTGACTCAGTGATACAGGGGACTGTTCTGTTCTGGTCCTGCTGGACCTGACTGCAGTCTGACACTGTTGACCATCACCGGAGCTGGGCTGAGAGTCTGGGTAGGCCCATCAGGAACTGCTCTGGAGTAGTTCTCTTCTTATCTGTCTGAGCATTCCTTCTCTGTGGCTATCTCCAAGTTTTGGTCCTCTACCTCCTCACTCAGCCATGGTGTCCCACAAGGTTCTGTACTGGGGCATCTGCTCTTCCTCCTCTATCTGCTTCCTCTTCAGCACATCCTGAGCTCCTTCAAAGGAATCTCCTACCATCTTTATGCAGATGACATCCAACTGTACATCTCCTTTAAGCCCCATGAGATGTCTAAGCTGCAGCTGTTACACACCTGCTTAGACTCTATCAAAACCTGGATGGTGGGAGCTTTCTTCAGCTGAATGAAGATAAGACTGAGATCCTCATCTGTGCCCCAGACAAGCTGGTTCCCAAAGTCAGAGACTCTCTTGGTCAGCTTGCTTCTCACACCAAACCTTCTGTCAGGAATCTTGGTGTGACCTTTGACCCAGCTCTCACCCTGGATTCTCATGTCAGTTCTCTTGTTGGCTCTTCCTTCTTCCATCTCAGGAACGTTGCTAAGCTGAGTCCCATTCTGTCCCGCTCTGAACTTGAGACAGTTCTCCACACCTTCATCTCCTCACGCTTAGACTACTGTAACTCTCTTTTCACGTGTCTGAGCAGAACCTCCCTGAACCGTCTACAGGTGGTTCAGAAAGCCTGTGCTCGGCTTCTGACCAAGTCCTCCAAACACACCCACATCACCCCGCTTCTCCTCCAGCTTCACTGGCTGCCAGTCAACTTCAGGGTTCATTTCAAGATCCTGGTTCTGGTCTATAGGGCCTTACATGGACAAGCACCATCTTACATTGGTGATCTTCTTAGTCCCTACACCCCCAGCAGGTCCCTGAGGTCCAGTGATCAAAGCCTACTGGTTGTGCAGCACCAGGCTAAAGGTCAAAGGTGACAGATCATCTGCTGCTGTGGCCCCCAGACTCTGGACCTCTCTCCCCCTGAGCCTGAGATCAGTGGACTCAGTGGTCTCCTTTAAAAAGCAGCTCAGACTCAGAGTAATTTCAAAACTTTGTTAAAGACGCATTTCTAAGAGCTGTCTTTTGATTAGTGACAAATGAAGTGTTTTGTACCTCTTTTAGGAACATTTTGGATCGTCTGTGATGACCAATTCTTGGGAAGTGGCTCTTATCGAGGATTGTCCTGAACATTTTGTCTCACCTAGTTTAACTTTGTTTTTCTATTTCAATCTAGTCGCTTTGTTAGATTTAAGTTTTGCACCGTGATCTGTTTTGTCACGTTATGAAGAACTTCAGTCAGCAACAGCTGTTTTAAACGTGCTACACAAATAAAAGTGACCTTGAAAACTCACCTGTTCAGGCTGGCTTTTGTGTGACCTCCTGTTCATCCTCTTCTTCCTCACCAACTTCTTTTTGCTGCCCCCCCCCCGCTGTTTCTGTCAGGAGCCTGAAAACATCCAGATCTGTTTACTTTTTTGTCTTTTTTTATTTATTTAAAGTTTTTGGTGGTTGTGTGAAGCACTTTGGGAGTTGTACTTTGAAAGGCACTTCATCACAAATAAAACTTTCATTATTGTAAACATCTTATACGTTAAATGTTTTGGAAGCTTGTAGCTTAGAAATCTAGACGGACAGTAGCGGAAGCAACGTGATTTTGCTCTGCATGCATGTGTGTTTTTATTCACATATACAGGCTACTTGATCCGTGATTCTGTGATCTTCTCAAAGATGAACTTCGGTCTCCTCTAGAACACAAACAAGGAATCTAAAACATCCGCTTGTTGTTGCAACTATCCATCAGTCGGCATGGGAAGGAAACATCTCCGAAAGGATGGATGCTTCTGCTGTTAATGTTCTGACTGGCCGGAGCCATAGAGGATCATGGGAAATCTCTCTCTGTGTGTGTGTGTGTGTGTGTGTGTGTGTGTGTGTGTGTGTGTGTGTGTGTGTGTGTGTGTGTGTACTGGTGATGGAAACATGTTGTTGTGTAACATGATCTGTGCTGACAGTCAGCACCGAGCGCATTACGACTTGATGGAGCTCCATAATGAGCTGTGATGGGAAACACGGAGATAATTGGACCAGAGCGTTCTGAGTGCAGCAACTGCAGAGCCACTGAGTGCTGCTCAAGTCTGAGACCAGTCCAGATTTGCTCCAGAACCTCTACGAGAATCTAGTTCTGCTTGTTTAAGCCTTTAGGTCTGTTTGTAGCAAAGCCAGGAGGAACAGAGTGTCTCAGGTTGAGTCAGTAACTGAACAGAACCAGTCTGATTTCTGACTCCATCAACACATCTGAATGCTCAAAACCTTGCTCAAGGGCACTTTAACACATAACCCACAAGGCCCTGGGATTGAACCGCTCACCTCATCAGTGTCCAGCTGCTCCGCTACAGAGAGCCACGCCCCTTTTTGTTATTGCTGTTGCTAGTATTAAATGTCTGATTATCATCCTGATGCTGCTGTTTAGGATGCTTTTCCTCTTGTTGAGGTAACGGGATGTTGCTATGACAACCACATCACTCTAAGATAACTGGACAGATCATTAAGTCAGATCTCAGATTTCTACATTAATCCAGTTTCTGACTCCAGGAATCGTGCTGCCATCCTGGGCGGAGGGTTTTGTATCTATTGTGGAAAGATGGGAGGGGCCTGATCAGGCCACAGGAGATGACCAATCAGAGCAAAGATGGCTCTTTGAAAAGTAACATGTTTCTTCCTAAGGCTAATCAAAATGGACCACACCTGACTTCTACAAAACCTGAAGTTTGAGAGGGAGGGGCTTGGGTTAGACCCCTCCCAGATGCAGGTTTAATGTTTTTGTATTTAGCGGAGGGCTGCGCGGTGGCGCGGTGGTTAGAGCTGTTGCCTTCCTGGGTTCGCTTCCCGGCCTGGGATCTTTCTGCATGGAGTTTGCATGTTCTCCCCGTGCATGCGTGGGTTCTCTCCGGGTTCTCCGGCTTCCTTCCACCGTCCAAAAACATGACTGTTAGGTTGATTGGTCTGTCTAAATTGTCCTTAGGTGTGTGTGTGTGTGTGTGCATGATTGTTTGTCCTGTGTGTCTCTGTGTTGCCCTGTGATGGACTGGCTCTCTGTCCAGGGTGTACCCCGCCTGATTGCCCGTTGACCGCTGGAGATAGGCACCAGCCGCCTGCGACCCTAGATGGACAAAGCGGGTTCAGAAGATGGATGGTATTTAGCGGACGCTTTGTCCAAAGCAACGTACAGGTGATAATCAAGCCGGCAGGTTACCCTTGAGGCTAACAACAAACACTATTCAGTCAGTCCTAGGTGGCTGTGAGGCAGCATAATCAATCATAGAGGGAAGCGAACATGGAGTGTGCAGTAGAGTGGGGCATGGGTGCAGGGAGGGTGCTGGTTTAGAAGATGAAGAGCAGGGTCTTCAGGAGTCTCTTGAACATCGACAAGGACGCCCCTGTTCTGGTAGTGCTTGGAAGGTCATTCCACATTTGTGGAACGATGCATGAGAAGAGTCTGGATTGTCCTGAGCGTGGTGTAGGCACTGCTAGCCGACCATCCTGTGATGACCGGAGCGGCCGGGCCGAGACGTAAGCCTTTGCAAGAGGATTCAGGTAGATGGGAGCCGTACCATCTCGGACTTTGTATGCTAGTGTTAGCAATTTGAATTTGATGCGTGCTGCTAGCGGTAGCCAGTGGAGCTCAATGAACAGAGGGGTGACGTGTGCTCTTTTTGGCTGATTGAAGACCAGACGCGCCGCTGCGTTCTGGACCATTTGAAGAGGTCTCACAGTTCAGCCTGGAAGACCAGTTAGAAGGGCGTTGCAGTAATCGAGGCGGGAGATGACAGTAGATTGCACCAGGAGCTGGGTGGCATGTTGTGTTAGGTATGGTCTGATCTTTCGTATGTTATACAGCGCAAAGCGTCATGAACGAGCAACAGAGGCAACATGATCTTTAAAGGTCAGGTGTTCATCAATCACAACACCCAGATTTCGAACTGCCTTTGAAGGCGCCAGAGATAGATTTTGGATTGAGATGTGCTGTATGGATGGTTTCACTGGGATGACAAGTAGTTCAGTTTTAGAGAGGTGGAGTTGGAGATGGTGGGATTTCATCCATCTTGATATGTCAGAGAGACAGTTTGATATTCGTGCAGATTTTACACCAGACTGAACAATAACTCATCTCAGCATCAAACGGTTCACACGAGCTGCTTTATTAAGACTGATAAATAAAAAAAAGAAAAACTGTGGATCACAGCAGGCTGAATGAAGTTTCCTCACAGAGAAAAGAAGTGGGCCGAATAGCCATCAGAAGTCCAACCACTCGGTCATGTAGATGCAGCTGGACGGAGAGATTTCCCCTCCCTCATGACAGTCATCAAACACCTGCAGACAGGATCAGGTGAGTTCAGGCGCGTCCACGAGCAGGATGCAGCCATGTTAATGAGTGTGGTTACCGGGCAGAGTCCGCAGGGCGTCTTGACGAGGCCGGTGGGCTGCAGGATGGGGTTCACGCCCCTGTACAGCTTCATCTGCCCGTCCACGCTGCCCACCGTCCCCTCCTTGGCGGCAATCACGGTCATCTCCACCTTCCCGTCATAGATGAGCGTGTTCAGAATGGTCTCGATGTCGTCCATGGACAGATCCACCTGGACACACACCTGTCAGACACACGGACTACAGCGAGCGTGATGTGTGATTGGTGGACGTTAGCAGTCACCTTACTAATTCCAAGCTCGCAGATGTACTTCCACACTTCATGAGAGGTGGCGAAGGAGCTGTTCCGCTGAACCATCGGGCTCTGATTGCTGTCCCTCGCTGCGTCAGCCTTAACACACGGAACACCACGACGGTCACATGACCAGAACCCACCTGTTCCTGAACAGCATCATCCAGACCAACCCAGAGGATGGGTTCTGATCCGATCATATTTGTTTAGGGTCATTTGGCAGAACTATCAGGTTCTGGTCCAACAGTTGTTGTCGTCGGGAGGGTTCCCCAACAGAACAAAATGACCCAGAAGAACCTCAAAGGAGTATTGATGGAGGCTGGCTGAAGCTTCACGGTTAAAGAGCTTCCATCGTTTCTTTAAGACCTCTTTTAAAAGATAAGATCCTTACATCCCATAATGCCTTACTAAGGAACTGAGCTCAGAGACATGAGGTCAGGTCAGTGGACCTTCAGGAGGGAGATCTCTGCTGCCCTCTGGTGGTCCGTAATGACCTGAATAAACTTTTATTACCACACGGCTGTTCCAGCGCTCTCATAACAAAAACAGAGTAAGAGGACAATTCAGTTGTCTGTCTGTCCCGCTGTCTGGGGGTGGGGTTCAAACCTGCTCCACACACCTCAAGGGACAGTGCTGGACTGCCCTTTCCCTCTTGACCAGCTTGATTAATGTCCCCTTGACCCTCTCTACACTTCCACCAAACATAATAAACCTCATAAAAGGACAACAGACGCTACCACAGAGCTGTAGAGGGTCCATAACTGAGTTCAGTTCACCCCAAAGGAGTAGGTGAAGACGACTGTAGAAGAGAGAGAGAGAGAGAGAAAGAGAAAGAGAAAGAGAAAGAGAGAGAGAGAGAGAGAGAGAGAGAGAGAGAGAGATCCTTCAGGCCGGTTTAAAGTCAGGCACATCCACGGATACCCAAAGTTCAGTCTCGGGGATGAGAGGTTTGTTGCTATGATGCTGCTGCTAAGCCAAGATCATTAAAAGGCTTCATTTAGTTTATCTTAAAGAGCAAGTCACCCCCAACCAGAGTATTACTCCACTCCCACTTCCTGTTTGAAAAATGCAACAAATGCTGTTGCCTAGCAGACCGAGAGGGCGGAGCCGCTAACTAATACACACACACACAGGCTCACAACAACATCGTGACATCATATGGTACCAGCTAGTGATGTGTCGGTCGCGAACGAACCGGCTCTAAGAGCCGGCTCATCATTGGGAGCCGTGCCCCCCCCCCCCCCTTCCCTCTTGCTTTGGTGAAAGCTACAGGCGATTGGTCAGCATGTGTAACTGTGTGTCCAGACTGTCCACACACAGAGCAGTAGGGGCGGGGAAGAGGGAGGATCAGACTCAGACACACAGCAGAGCACATGCGGGCGGAGGGAGACGAGAGGGAATGAGGAGGAGGAAAAAGGTGAGAGAGAGAGAGAGAGAGAGAGAGAGAGACAGAGAGACAGAGACAGAGACAGAGACAGAGAGAGAGAGAGAGAGAGAGAGAGAGAGAGAGAGAGAGAGAGAGGAGAGCGCGACGAAGACGGTGAGAAAATGAGCGCCAGCAGTCGGAAAGTGGAGATTTCTTAAAGTGTTCAGTTATTAAATCCATAGAAATGATAAATATTTGATATATTGCTTTTTTTACATTAGTAAATTATTTTACATATAGTTTATCATCATTTTGGTTATAAATGTACTCTACGCAACAGAAAATCTGAGGAGCCACTTGGGAGCCGAAAGAGCCGGCTCTTTTTGGTGAGCTGAGCCAAAAGAACCGGCTCTCTAAAAAGAGCTGGAACTTCCATCACTAGTACCAGCTGAGGGTACCTCTTAGCCAATAGCGATGGCAGGTTTAAATTCAAATGCAGTGAAGAGTTTTTACCTGACAACGGTACTACACTGACAGTTTTAGGCAGAAAATTTAAATTTGAACTAAAATGCACTAAAGTACAAAACTATTGACTACACGTGTCTGCAGCACGATTAGGCATGCATTTATATAGTTTATCAGCAAATAAAGCTGATTTGGGGGTGACTTGCTCTTTAAGAATTATTGGTAAAAAGCAAAAACAAAAGACAGGATGCATTTTAGATGTTGCTTTTGTGTTTTCAGCTCTTTTGTATTTTTACTCCAAATTTGAATTTATTTAATTTAAATCTGCTAAATAAATCCTCTAAAACATTAATGTAACTAACATTTTTTATTCACCTGTTTTCCTTATTTAATTCCTAATTAATTTGGTGACTTGTTTGAATAACTTTGATTAAATATTTGATTTTATTGCAGTTTAGTACAAAAATAAGACTCAACAGGGTCAGGAATGTTGAGCATCAGCTGCGCTTTAGCAGGCAGGTGGGAAAAAAATTAAAATCAAGATGTTGGCAACAGAAAAACCCACATTGGATGATTTCCACTGCAGAAGTCATCCATATTTGTGGACAAGTTCAGGCTGTTGCTGAGGTGAACACCCATTTTTGTGCTCCTCTGCTGTTTTAGTGCACGCGTGTGTGTGTGTGTGTGTGTGTGTGTGTGTACCTTGCTCTGGAGGAATTTGAAGCACTGCTGGTTCAGAACTTCCACAAACTCTGACTCAAAGTCCTGGTCACTGTACCAGGCCCCACCTGTCACTGAGCGGTCTGGCTGCAGGTTGTACAGCATGTAAACCTTCTTCTTTGATGCCTACACACACACACACACACACACACACACACACACACACACACACACACACACACACACACACACACACACACACACACACACACACACACACTTTGATCACTAGTTAGAAAGCAATGCTCTGGTTTATGAACCGGCTACGTTTTTGTTCCGACAGCACTCACCGCCACAGACTTGACAGCTTTTATGAGTTTTTTGCTCTCGAGGTTCTTCAGGATCTTGTTGATCTCGGTCAGAGGGAGGTTGCTCTTAAAGCGGATGTCTCTGCTCCAGATTCCTGCAGCCACATTACACAGCCGTGATGTTCTAATCCGTTAGTGGTGAGCTGCATGTTTCTAGACATAAATAGGTTGGTACCTTTGTTTCCTGCATCTTCAATCACCTGATAGACCAGCTTCTCCTGGCTGTCTGAGCCTTTCATCTTACTGAAGCACAGAAAGGCGTTTCAGAGAGGCAGAACCAAACCACACAGGGGCCAGCGAGCAGATCTCAGGTCTTACCTGGACATCTGAGAGTCCTTTAGTCTGTACAGGAGACCTGAACTGTTCCTGAGAAGGTCCAGGTGACCCTATAATAGAATAGAACACCAGTTCAGATCATCCATCAGCATCACGGAGACCGACATGGGTCGGGTCCTCGAACCCACCAGGGCCAGCAGCTTGTTAATGGCCATGGCTCTCTGCTGAGGCTCCAGGTGCGGCATGTCGTTCTGGATCACCTGGTCTGTGATACCTTGAGGAAACTGCTGACACAGATCTTTGATCCTGGGTCACAGAAACAAGTTTAAACACATCAGAACGTCGTTTCACTTATGATTAACTTTTGTTTTTAAAGCAGTTTTCGCTTCAATCAGCTGCCTCCAATTCTCCTCTTATTTGCAACAAACTTATGTTTTATTTAACATGTATAAAAGCAATGCCTCTGTCCGTGTGCAAGACAGCAAACAGGTGTAACAGAACGATGGTGCAAATCTGGCAGCCACGTTGAAGACATGAAGTCTACTTTGGGACTTTCTTTTGACAAATAAACGAGTGAAGTGAATGCCGAAGTCTGAGTGAGCCTGTTCCCGTCCCGAAAACGGGTCCAAACTCAACTTGTCACCGATATGTGAGAGATTGTGGATGAGAAACGTTCAAATCGACCGAATGGACACAGAATCCGGTCCGTTCCAACCTGCTCTCCACCTCCGCGGGTTCCGTCTGGTTCATCTCCTTCTTCACCTTCACCTCCGCCATTCTGAACCGGTCGTGTGGCTCGTGTCCGAGCAGCGGCTCCGTTAAGTCGGTGATTCTGGTCCGCCACAATCAATCTCAGAGCAGGCGGTATCAAGACTGCCCTGGAGGGGTCCTTACAGATGTTTACCCAGCGGGAGGTGTCCGGAAAACTGCCCGTTCAAAAATAAATTAATTGAGATTCAGTTGAGCGGTTAAGTGAAAGACAAAATAAAATCTTATTTTTAATTCTCAAAATTATTTCTCATTTTTCAATGTTTTTCAATTGAACCCACTTTTTATATTATTTTTACTATTCAAATAAAACGAGTTACTGAAACACCAGTGCCTACATTCAAATAAATCCAAGCGGAGAAACTCTAAACATTCATGAAATGCTAGTCCTGTCATTTCTAGGAACTTCTAAAGAGTGAACTTGTAGAAAGTTTCGCGGCAGCCCCGAGGGGCGGTCACTTGTGCTTAGTTCGTCTCAGACAGACTCTGTTGCCATGGTGACGTTGGACAAACGCTGCAGTTCTCTGAAGCGTCTCATCTCCCAGCCAGCTCGATGCGTCTGTATTCTTGAGCTCATAACCGTAAAAACGGTTCCGCTACACAACAAGAACCGTGCGGTACGGGAGCGGTAAACCGGTAGCCAGCGGAGGGCGCTGTCTAATGGCTGACAGCTGATTAATATGTGTTGAGACGTTCTAACCTCTTATTTAGTACATTAGATTGCTATCCTGTTTTTTCAGATATCATCACGTCTCAGTGAGTTGTGACGGTCTAGCTGGACGTTTGTGAGCAGCACTTTTAAAACAAGGACTCAAAAAACTCAAGTTTTCTTTTCTGCTTTAACTGAAGAAGAAGCAACCCTGATCTCCTGATTTGTTGATATCCGTTACCATGGCAGCAGGAGCTGTTTTACCTCCACTTATCATTCCCATCATCTACCTGCCAACTCATCGAGCCAAGAAGCACATCGATACCACAACACCTGTCTCCATCCAGTCAGGTACCCCCCCCCCCCACACACACACACACCACACACTTCTGTCCTCCATTCATCTATCTATCCATCCATTCATATTCTTTTGTTAATTTCACAACACACACACACACAGCATGGATCTAGCTGGTTCCAGCTTTTTCTAGCAAGCTCTATCCGGTTCTAGCTGGATACAGGACGGATCTTCTGTGTTGCAGCAGATCTGAAGAAACTTCTGACTGAAGATACTTTGTGGTTGAATTATTGTCTTGCGACGAGGCTGATCGGGGTTTCTGCTAAATTTGCCACCTTGCAGCGCTGATCTAAACAACAGTTTGTGCGTGCAGACTCTGCAGGTGTGCTGATCTTCTATACGTTGGATGGGTCGAAGCCAGAGCTGGGGCAGAGAGGGGCAGCTGGCAGCAGCAGGAAGTACACAGAGCCCATCCTGCTACCTGCTGGTCGGGTGTCTGTCAAAGCTGTGGCTGTCACCAGGTAAACACTCACCTGATAACGAGTGACAGGAATAAAAGTAGCACTGCATCACTTCCTGTTTATCAGACCATAACTGTGTTTGATACAGTGATGGCAGACAGAGCTCTGTGGTGACCAAGGTCTTCTCAGTGGTTCAACTGGATTCAGGCAGCACTGTGGAGAACCAGAATAGTCTGCAGAACCACTTGAAGGTAAACACTCACCCGCTGCTCTGCATATTCCATAAACCCGTCCTCTATTTGTATGAAACTATCTGCCCTTGCTCATTCCTTCATTGTTCTGTTACTTCAGCCTGATGGAACTTGTGATTCTGCTGAGAAATCACTTGGTTCTCCACAAAGATCTGTAGGTAAGTACGAAAAGGTCCACTAGTACACACCTGCACCCAAACCAGGTTTAATCCATCCATCCATCCTAGTCTAATTTATTATTCATTCATTTTCTGAACTTCTTGCATCTGAGTGGAGTCTTGGGGACACACGGAGACAGATACCCAGCCACACGCTCACTCACACCTACGGTACAGGCCAAAGCTTTGGACACACCTTCTCATTCAATGTGTTTTCTTTATTTTCATGATCATTTACATAGATTCTGACTGAAGGCATCAAAACTATGATTGAACACATGTGGAGTCATGCACTTACCAAAAAAGGTGAAATAACTGAAAACATGTTTTGTGCGCTAATTTCTTAAAAAGGCCACCCTTTGCTCTGATCACCGCCATGGACGTGATTTTGGGGGGGGACAGGGGGGACATGTCCCCCCCACTTTTTCCAAAATCAAGTTTTGACCCCTGCACTTTTTACCATCCAAAAACAACATTACGCTATATTAAATTGACACTGGTTGAGCTCTAAGACCAAGCGGAAAACAGCCGTTTGTGTTGAAACCTGTTTCCCATTAGAGCATACTGTAAAGATCCCCCCCCCGTGTCCCCCCCACTTCTCAAGTGAAAATTACGTCCATGATCACCGCTCTGATTACTCTTGGCTTTTGATGAGCTTCAAGAGGTTGTCACCTGAAATGGTTTTCCAACAGTCTTGAGGGACTACCTCTTGAAACTTGAACCCTGAGAATGAGAAGGTTTGTCCAAACACACTGAAGCATCACTTCATTTAATCATCATCATCAACCTGTATTTATAAAGCACATTTAAACGGCGACAACGCCAACCAAAGTGCTGTATAAGACAATACATCACCAAAATATATAAAACAAATGAAAACTATAAAAAATAAAAACAGGAAAGCAGACGGGTTAAACACTCTCAGCCGGGAAGGCCAGGGAATAGAAATATGTCTTCAAACATACTTTAAAAGTGGGAAGGGAGGGGGCGAGTTGGACCGTCAGGGCCAGGGGGAGTTGGTTCCAAAGTTTAGGCGCACACACTGAAAAAGCCCGTTCGCCACGGGCCATGTAACGGGCCGGAGGGACAAGCAGAATGTGCTGTCAGAGGACCTCAGGGTTCGCGCCGGTGTCGGTACAGTATCTGCTCGGGTGCAAGATCGGCTCGGGGTCCTTCGACTCCCGATGACGTCAAAGTACGGCAAACCGACTCGGACAAAATGCACTACACATCTATACTGTTGGAAAGAATTTAGCACTTTCGTTATTAAAATAATGTTTCTTAAGACATAAGTTTGTGTTTATAATGGTATTTGTAAATTAAAACACTATTTCTTATATATCTTATTCATAATGTTGAACTCCTCTTTGAGCACATCCCTTGGCTTGAAGAATCATAGGTATTAGCAACACCTGTGAAACTGTATTTGCAGGAAAGAAGTGTGTCCCGTTTATTTAAGTATTTTGTGTTTAGAGTTGTTGACGTCTTGTCATAGACTGTAGCTGCTAGCCAAAACTCTGGAGTTAAAAGTTTTCTGGCTTTACTAAAAAACCTGTCTGTACTTATTTGATTGATGGTATTTTTACTTTCTATTAGACTCCAAATGTAATCATTTGGCACGTTTGTAATTCATAATTTGCAATAATGTAATCGGCGATATTAGCATTAGCATTCCTATGGGTTTTTCCATGTATATTAGCATTGCGCTCACCACTCGCTGCCAAATTGCAGCCTTTGAGATTAGAAAATCTCCTGGCTTTACTAAAATACCTGTCTGTACTTATTTGATTGATGGTATTTTTACTTTCTTTAAGACTCCAAATGTAATCATTTGGCACGTTTCTAATTCATAATTTGTAATAATGTAATCGGCGATATTAGCATTAGCATTCCTATGGGTTTTTCCATGTATATTAGCATTACGCTAACCACTCGCTGCCAAATTGAAGCCTTTGAGATTAGAAAATCTCCTTTTGTCACATCGCAATTTAATTGCACATGCAGTTAATCGTTCAGCCCTAATATACATGCAGCTCTATGCTAAAAGTGTTTTTTCAAAGAGGTAATGATGGATTTCTTTGTAAAAGTTGTCCATCTTTCCAATAGAAAGATTTGCCTGGACCAACGTAACGTGATAACAACGTAACGTGATTACGTATTTCCGTAAGGTTCATGTTCAGCCAATCAACTACTTAGACGTCATCGGCAGTCGACGGACCCCGAGCCGATCTTGCATCCGAGCAGATCCTGTACCGACACCGGAACAGAGGGACTCAAAAGATGTGCCAAATAGGAGCGGGCCATTTCATGAATAGAGTTGTAAACCAACAGGAGAATTTTGAACTTAATCCGAAACCGAACTGGAAGCCAGTGTAAATTTTCCAGAACAGGGGTGATATGCTGCCGTCGGTCTACGCCCGTAAGAAACCTTGCGGCAGCATTCTGAACCAGTTGGAGGCGTACCACTGAAGAGGAGGGAATACCATATAAGAGAGAGTTGGCATAGTCCAGACGTGATGTTACAAAGGCATGAACAACTGACTGAAGATCTTTTTTGTTCAGGACAGATTTTAGTTTGGCCAGCCGGCGAAGATGAACGAAACATGACCTGACTACCTGATTTATCTGTGCATCCATTTTAAAAACGTCCAGAGTGAACCCAAGTTTGTAATTGTCGGCTTCACCAAAACTGACAATGACGGGGGCAGAGAGGGCTCCACAGCAGAGGGGGAGCAGGGGGCAAAGAGAATAGCCTCCAGTTTGGAGCTGTTAAGATGTAAGGTATAGAACCAGAACTAGGACTGACTGGGGTCTAAGAAGGCAGGAAAGAGTCAGAGACCAATCCAGATGGAACAAAGTTAATGGCAGCAGCAACAGTTAATACAAACATCTAGAGCAAAGCCAGCTGAGTGAGGAGAGTCATCGTGTCCTCCAGGAGTCTAAGTCTATAGTATCACATAGCAGCATAACTAAAGGGATGAGCCAGGAACACCCAGTAAGTTCTCCAGTAGTATAAGCCTTTAATGAGTAAGTAATATTTGTGTTCTATTTACGAAGGTGAATTTGAATTTTATGGCTTTTCAGGTTTAAATGCTTTTTAAAATGTGCTACGCAAATAAATTTGGACTGGATTGGATTACATGTATTGTTATTATTTGATTATATTATAGAACAGATCGTTTCTTCTTCTTTTTATTGCACCTTTGACATAAAAATCACAGTGGAGTGATGTGAGCTCTTCTGTTGGCTCCAGTTAGGAGCCTCACTGCAGAGCTCTGGACCAACTGAAGGCGGTCAACAGCTTTTTTGTTAAAAAGTGTGTCACAGTAATCTAGACGGGGGAGATAAAGGCACGAATAACATTACAAGTTCGTGTTTTGACACTAATCTTCACAGTTTGGAGATATTTCTCAAATGATAAAAACTGTTCTGAACCAGTGTTTTGGGGTAAAAGAAGGAGCTTGATATTTCCATCTAAATTAGACCAAACTCTGAACAAACAATCCTTTTGTTCACATCCTGTCCTGAAATGTGTATCCAGAGCTGACGGTGAGGGGACAGCTGGGCTCCAAGACCCCTTCCACCACATGGATCAGTTCGTCCCAGACAAACCAGACTGTGGTAAACAAGTCTAAAGATAGGCTCTGTGTTGTGTACAGGCTTTATTTACATCCTTATCTGACAGGATTCATATGAACTGAAGCAGATGAACAGCACGGAGGCCACCCGAGTGCAGCGACAGACCAACTTTCTCCGGTAGGAACACGCCCAGAACCAGAGTGTCATGGTCCTGCGTCTCCCTCATGTGTGCCCCTGTGTTCTCCATCCTTCTCTAGCTTTCCCTCATGTGTCTCCTTGTCTGCAGCCCCCTCCATGTTCTCCCTCCAGGCATCCCCCCAGGTTCTGGCCCCTTTAGTTCTCCGACCCCTCCAGGTGTCTCTCTAGAATCCCCCCTCACGTGTACCCAGCTTCCTGTGCTCCTTCTGGCCTCCAGCTCCCACCAGGTTTCCCAGGTCATCTAGCTTGTCTTTCCCTGTAGTTTTCTTATTCAGGTGTTTTCTTCTAGGTTCCTCCTTGGTCCTTCCCCTCTGGTTTATTAGTTCTCCTTAGATCTTCAGTTATTTGTCTTTCTAGGCTTTGTTATTTTTCATAGGTCATGTTTTATCTCTCCCTCTCAGCTTAGTTTCCTCTCCCCGTTGGTTAATTGATTTCACCAGGTTTCTCTCCCCACTCACCTGCAGCTCATTCTCCAATCATCCTGCCCCAGTGTATAAAACCCTGTCTGTGTCTCACTGTCGTGTTGGTCCATTGTCTTGTCAGTATTGTCTCCCCTCCCCTCCCCTCCCCTCCCCTTCCCTCTTGGTATTTGGACTTACTCTAGGTCTCTTGTGGTTTTTGGATGTTACTAGGATTGATTTTTGGAATTTTTGGTTTTTGGCCACCAGCCCTTTTCGATTACCCCAAATTAAAGGTTTTACGTTTTAACTACTCCTACCTTGTGTCACCCTGGGTCTGCATCTTGGGTCCTAACCTTCCTCCAACCTCACACCCTGACACAGAGTTGCACCTAGCTACAGGGACACGCCCCCTTATAAGGAAATATCCATCGTAGGCAGACCCCCTCACTGTCTGGAATGAGGTCTTTAGTAGTCTACGTTGGAGTTTAGAGTTTGGACCTAAAACTCCAGTGAGATGCAAGAATCAATCAATCGATCAATTAATCTTTATTTATAATGCACTTTTCGTACACAGTCGACAGAAATCAAACATAACAGATGAGAATCAACACGGACAACAACAGCTCCGCCCCTTTGTCTGTCCAGGTGTGCTCGATGTCTCAGCGCTCGTCCATCAGACCCCTTTGCTAGGTTTTGCACTCATTGTGGAGAAGAAATTCCACAGTTACCCAGTCAGAGGCTGCCTCCTGCAGAGGGAGGACAGGTACTACATACGCTTGATCACCGTCCAGGTAATAACAGGTAAAGAAATGTTGACTGGATGAATGTGTCCAGATGCTGCTGTGTGTCAGCTGTAAATCCATGGTTCCTGCCAATACTCCAGTCTGCTTGGTTTGTGAAGCGCCAATCGATTTGCAGCTGCAGCCTAAGGCTAGCCTGTCACCACAGGTACACAACAGGTGTTTACCAGGTGCACAACAGGGTTTCCATAGGTTTCCTTTGCATGTGTTGTTGTGTTTATGTTGGTGTGTGGTTGTAGGATCATGTGGTTTGTGTTTCTTGTGGAAGTGGGAATCCACCTCACGTCTCCAGCTGTTTGGCCTGTGAGAACCACCTGCAGCAGGTACAGTTGGATCAGGTATGTTTCGTTTTAAAAGCTCACGTTCAACCGTTTGTGACGGCGGTGGCTTTGTTTACTGCAGACGATGTGTGGTGGGAACAGCACCCCCTCTGTCCTGGCAGCAGACCAGATGCTATCCTGCTCCAGATGTGAAAGACTGAACCGCAGCGATGCCAGATTCTGTGACTGGTGTGGATCCAAGGTGAATTCACTGCCACGTGCACCTTTAGCCACTCTGCTTAGCGTGTGTGGAGTGAAGCATTGTGGGATATGTAGTGACGTGACATGCATGTTCAGCCCACTCATTTACTCAGGTGTGTAACGTGTTGCCGATGCGGAGCAAGTGGACACCCGTATGCATTCTATTGTGCTTGCTGTGGCAGCTTTCTTAAAGGGCCAGACCCGCCCACATCCTTTGGTGATGTCATACAACCGATCACGTGCACCACAACAAATCAGGTATACCAGTTTCTGATAACACACCAGTAGATACTTCCTGGATCCTGTTAATTGCGTCCTCTTTCTTTCTGCATTGGCTCAGTCCCCAGCTAGGCCATCATTAAGCCCCACCCCCAAAGTGAAGATAACTCTGCCCAGTGTGGACCAGTCTACACAGACTGTAGGACTCTATTTCCCATCAGCCACAGAGCTGCAGAGGAAGAAGCAACAGATCATGCTAGAAGAGGTCACCAGACGACTGGTGACCAGAGTCCGCTGTCCACCTGTGACAGCCATTAGCCCAGGCCGAGGTAATAGAGTACAAATACTTTGTTGGTCTGTTGTGAGTCTTTGTGCTGAACGTGTGAATCTGTTCCCCTGCTGGTTTTGTCTTCAGGATACTGGAGGCAGCAGCTAGATCATGTGTGTGCTAACCTGAGAAGTTATGCTCAGAACAACGCCCCCTTCAGGGCTGTCCTGGGAGAGCCTCGACTGGGCCGGGTACACGCCTCACCTGCTCCTCACCTGTCTAACCAGAACAGCCCTTCATTCTGCTCAGTGTTTCTGGGTTGTATGTGTTTCATCCCTCACCTGAGCAGGTGTTGCCAGGCATGTGTTTGACTGTTCAGGTCGCTCCTGATTGGTTGACTGGTTTTGTCGTGTTTCAGGTTGTTTCCGCTGTGCTTCAAGAGGACCCTCATGAAGTCAGCCTGACCATCACCTTCGTGTCAGCAGGACAGAAGGAACAGCAGGTCTGTTCGGAACAAGGAACCGGACCTGAAGCTGAATCTCAGCGGTGAATGACAAAGTGAACCTGTTCGAGGCTGCTGTTTGGTCTTAGGTTGGCTCTGATGACGACTGTGGTGAACCGTCGAGTGGAGGACCAGGACCAGTGGGTCAGACTGAGACTCTGAGCAGAGTGACTGAGCAGTCCGCTGATAGCACCCATCTCAGTAAGAACATTTGCTCCTGACCTGCATGTTAGGTTCTCCATAGGTGCTTCAGTTCTCATGGATGGGGTGGGGGTGGGGGAACGTGATTGTCCAAAGAACTAACCGCTAGTCGAGCAAACAGCTTGGCTGGCCTGTATTTGTTATTTGTATGGCGCCTTCTTAGGATTCTACAACCCCCCAAGGCGCTTCACAACGCAATCAGTCATTCATCCATTCACACACACATTCACACCCTGGTGGTGATGATCTACGATGTAGCCACAGCTGCCCTGGGGCGCACTGACAGAGGCGAGGCTGCCGAGCACTGGCGCCACCAGCAGGCAAGGTGGGTTAAGCGTCTTGCCCAAGGACACAACAGCAGCATTCTCTGATCGGAGCCGGGATTGAACCTGCAACCTTTCGATTACTGGACAACCCGCCCTACCTCCTGAGCTACTGCTGTCCCAACGTTACGCAAAGTTATGGTTATTTAATTATTTACAAGTGAGTGGGCGTACGATGAAGCAGTACGACGAAACGAAAGCAACACATCCGCTCACGTCTGATGTACCTTGTGTTTTTCTGTACCTGTTTACCTGGAAAGGTGCTATATGAATAAAAGTTTACTTATTTATCCACATCCATCAAACACGCAACAGTGTTCATTGTGGGCTTCGGGAAAATGAATACATGTTGTTTTCAACATAAACCATTAAATGGAAAGGAAGTGCTCAGAAAAACACGGAGCTTTAAGTTTGAAAGCATCTTTCCAGTTTCCTGTTTGACGTTCTATTGTTTGTCTCTGGTAATTACACATTTTACCTCATAAATGGGTCAGAACCCTCTGATTCGGTGTTTTGTTTGTTTTTGACTGCCAGGAGGTGATCAGCTGTCAGGTATGATAAAACCAAAACTAAACCAGGCACCCACACCTGCGGTAAGACTTTACTCTCACTTCCTATTGGGTTAGAAATAGAAACTACCCTCCTCTGATTGGGTGTTTGGCTTCAGATGGCCAACAGTCAGTTGCTGAAAGAGCTGGGTCAGGGTAGAGGTCGTATCAGCATCATCCAACAGCTCCTGGATCAGGTAGGGGCTCCTGTAACCAACCAGCAGCTTCATCTGTCACCTGAGACAGTTTAATGCTGACCAGGTGTGCTTGCTGATTTAACAGGGGGCGGATCCATCCTGCTGTGAGAGCAGAGGCCGACACGCACTGGTAGTTGCTGTGAGGAATGGTCACCATGACCTACTTCCTGTTCTGGTGCAGCGAGGCGCCAACGTGAACCAGCAGTCTGGGCCGTAAGAACTCCAGGAGACTGGGAAATCAACCAAACCAAAGCTCAGACACATACCGCCACGAAAACTCATCAGTCTGTTTGTAGGAAGTGAACGGATGTGAATGTCTTCATCAATGATTAATTATATTATAGACATGCACTTGTATAGCACCTTTCTGAGTCAGAGGACTCCAGAGCGATTCATCCATTCACACACACACATTCGCACCCTGGTGGTGGTGAGCTACACTGTAGCCACAGCTGCCCTGGGGCGCACTGACAGGGGCGATCACCACGTTGATTAAACTGATGAAAACTTGGCTTTGCACACCAAGGGCATTGGGGCGGGGCTACGGTTTGACTGACATGTGCATTTGCAGGTGTGTTGAGTTTTGAGGTTATGTTGAAATTATAAAAGCAAAAGTAACTTTGGGTTTAAACTGTTGAGGAAAGAGCAGGGTAGTGCACCTCTTAGACCACTCCCACTTCATGACCACACCTCCATGTCATCTAGTCTCTGCAGGGATCTGGTTCTGTTCCATCAGCCCTGTGACATCATTAAGATGTGCTCCTCTTTCCTAGGATGAAGAACACAGCTCTTCACGAAGCTGCTGCTCTGGGTTCTGATGGTCTCCAGAGCGCCGAGCTCCTGCTCAGGTATGACTCACCTGTATATCTGATTTAAAAAAGAGAATTCTGTTTCCTCTGGAGTAACATTAAAGAACACCAGCAGCTGTAGCTCCTCCTGCCTCCCCCCATCTTACTGATTTCAGGTGTAAGGCGAGCGTGACGCAGAAGAATGCTGCTGGTCTGACGGCGAGTGACATGGCGATGAGCTCCGGTTGCAGTGAGCTGGTGTCTCTGATGGCTGCTCGGACTGGACTGGACTTTCTGGACAAACTGGGACGGTCCTGATAGTCTGTTGGGTTTATGGTGTCTGTCTGACGTAGTTCCTCGCCATTGTTGATCTAAAGCCGAAGCTCAGAGAACCAAAGGTAAAGGAAGTCCAATTTCTGCTAGATAGAACCTGGTTCTGAAAGATCACCATTTGGTGATGATGTAACTATGGCTCGTTTACCAACCCACAGTCTACAGTTAAAAATAAAAGATGATTGTGTTGCACATTTGTATGCTTTTTTTTTATAAGTCAGGGACTCCAAAGTGCTTTACAGTAGTTATTCACACACTGATGGTGATGAGCTACATCATAGCCACAGCTGTGGCCCTGTAGTGTCTGCACTCCTGACCAATAAAGAGGAACCAAATGCCCATTACTGTTTTGCCTGGGTTGATTTACCTCCTGCCTGAAGGATCCGCCCTTCCTCCCTCACCTTCCCTCCACATCATGACAAATGGGACCAGGGGCCTCACTAAAACATGTACTAACCCATGTACTTACATGTACTTACATGTACTTTCCAGACCTATACAACACAACTTCTGCACAGCTGCACACAATTCCCGCTTTACATGCTTAACCCGGTTCAAACTCCATCAAGTTGGTGAAAGAGTCACGTGAACAAAAACACTAAACTACAACATCTAACAGCCAAGCTGCTAGAACTAAATAATTATAATACTAGAAGCTTTGCTGGGACTCTTTTTCTTAGATGCTAGCATCGTTCTCGTTAGCCATTAGCTAAAAAACGACCCAGAATAAACGTGTTGTATACTTTTGAGCTGAAGAGGGCGCCAAACTGACGTTTTTAGACAGAATTTAGTTTTCAAAGAAATGCATCAAAATGCCAAAATAATGACTACACACGTCTACAACACAATTAGACACTCATGTATACAAGTTATCAGCTAAAAAAGTTGATTTTGATGTGACTTGATCAGGCTGAGGAACCACGTGACTTCGTGCCTGTTACGTCTTCGCGCGTCACGTGCCTTGTTTGGATCAGCTGACGGCCTGTTTCCGGGTCCTAAACTTGGCTACTTCTCTGCACAGGTTTGTTTCTCTGAACGTTACCGGATCCAGACAGAACCAAAACCAGAACCTGCTCGCTAGAGCTCCTCCGATAGAAGCCACGGAAACGGGCTGCTCGGAACAACAAGCCGTGGTTCTGGTGGTTTGGTTTGGTTTAAGGACCTGCGAGAGTTTTAGGAGTGAATGAAGTCCGGAATTAGTCGGTTCCGGGAGAAGAGCTACCAGGAATTTGCTTTTTTATTTAGCTGAAACCAGACGGACCCAGAAAGGTTCGGCTGGAGCCCGCTTTGTTTTTGTTGCTCCTCTAAACGTGGTGGATTGATCTGTCAGAACCAGAACCAAGTTCTGTTCTTTTTCTTGCAGCCATGAACGCCTCTGACAGCGATGAAGACATCTATAATGAGAGGACCGCGCTGGTCCAGTCAGAGAATCCTCCGGTTCCGTTCTACAGACCGGACTCTGGCGCAGGTACGTCCGAGGACACGCCCACTAATAAGGTACGGCTCTGTTCTTGCCCATCACCACCACCATGTCGTTGTCCTGACGGGGTTGTCCTCTCTTGGTTCAGGCGGGTGCTGGCAGAGCCCGTCCGGGCCTGGATGGCGCCGGCCCAGATCATGAGGTGGATGCTGATGAAGAGGAGCTGCCTCTGAAGTATGGAGCGAAGCACGTCATCATGCTGTTTGTCCCCGTCACTCTCTGCATGGTGGTGGTGGTCGCCACCATCAAGTCCGTTAACTTCTACGCTGAGAAGTCCAGCCAGCACCTGTAGGTCCACACGGCGCCGCCGCAACACTTCACGCCTCCTCCAAGGCTAACCGTCACGTTTGTCTTCGCAGGATCTACACGCCGTTCACAGAGGACACCCCGGATGTCGGCCGGAGGCTTCTCAACTCCGTCCTCAACACCATCATCATGATGAGTGTCATTGTGGTCATGACCATCCTCCTGGTCATCCTCTACAAGTACAGCTGCTACAAGGTCAGCCCCGCCTCCTTCGTTTGGTTACAACCCTCCAGGCTAGTCTTCTCCTGTTTAGACCCCTCCCCCTTCAGACTCCTCCTCCTCTGTGTATTTTATCAGCTAATATCTGACCTTCCAATCAAATCTTTTGTTTCACCAGACTGAAACCGTTTCAGGCGTTTGATGTTTGTGTTACCTGGTTATGACACACCTGGTTTGTGTTTTTGTGTTCAGTTTATCCATGGCTGGCTCATCCTATCCTCCCTCATGCTGCTCTTCTGGTTCAGCTATATGTACCTGGGGTACGTCTGGCTTTTTAACACCTGAGTACGCCTCTTCAGGTGTGTCATGGGGCTTCTTCTTTGTCTGCCATCAGCGAGGTGTTTAAGACCTACAACGTGGCCATGGACTACCCGACGGTGGCGATGGTCATCTGGAACTTTGGGGCTGTGGGGATGATCTGCATCCACTGGAAGGGTCCGCTGCAGCTACAGCAGGCCTATCTGATCCTCATCAGCGCACTAATGGCCCTGGTCTTCATCAAGTACCTCCCAGAGTGGTCGGCCTGGGTCATCCTGGGAGCCATCTCGGTCTACGGTGAGTCCTGCATAAGCTTCTGATCTGATGAGCTTGGATTATTCAAGTCAGCAGGTTTGAAGCATCTTCTGACCCCTTCTCTCCCATGATGACTTGCTCTACTGTTGCAGACCTGGTAGCTGTCCTCAGCCCTAAAGGACCCCTCAGGATGTTGGTGGAAACGGCTCAGGAGCGGAACGAGCCCATTTTCCCTGCCCTCATCTACTCCTGTGAGTCCTAAAGTGGGGCGGTAGAGCGGGCCGTCCAGTAATCTGAGGGTTCTTGGTTGAATAGCTGGGCGGGGCTCTTCGCCTCCCTTGCTGCCTCACCTTTGTGTAAATCGTTTTAGGACATAAACAAACCTGTAAGGTGATAAATAAACGGTGCCTTTTGTTCTGCGTGTGAGCAGCAGCCATGATGTGGACGGTGGGGATGGCGAGCCCGACGGACCCTGAGCCCTCGGAAACAGGTCCAACCTCTCACCGACTAATCCCCGTTCTCACCTGTGAGCGTTTGTGTAACGTCCCAACGCTTTGTTCCAGATGAGGAGGCGGAGCAGAACGGCAGGAGGGCGGAGTCTCGGAGCAGACAGCAAAGAACCGTTCCGGACGATGAGCTGGAGGAAGACCGTGAGTTCAGTGGCCAGGTGGTCTGGGGTGCAGGTCATTAGGCATGTGTGTGTGTGAGATGTGTGTGTTTGGCGTGTCTGCAGGAGGCGTGAAGCTGGGCCTTGGAGACTTCATCTTCTACAGCGTTCTGGTTGGTAAAGCAGCGGCAACGGGTGGAGACTGGAACACCACTATTGCCTGCTTTGTGGCCATTTTGATCGTAAGTTCTAGTTAATATGGCAAGGTGATGAGAACCGTATCTCACCTGTGACGCACCTGTGTCTGTCACCTCAGGGACTGTGCCTGACTCTGCTGCTCTTGGCGATATTTAAAAAAGCCCTGCCGGCGTTGCCCATCTCCATCACCTTCGGACTCATCTTCTACTTCTCTACTGACTTCCTGGTTCAGCCCTTCATGGACAACCTGGCCAACAACCAGTTCTACATCTGAGATGTGGCTCCGCCCACATCACCTACCTCCTCACCTCTGTCCTTGTTAGAAGACCGTTGTCCTCCTGCTCTCTGTTGATTTACGACTCAAACTCTTACTTTCTGTGCAGGTCTGTGAGCCACAGGAAGTGATGCTATAGTCGGAAGAAGCAGGTGTGGGTTTTGCTTGATTTCCAGGTGTTTGTTGATCGGATCACCTGCTGAGTGTTCAAGCCAAGGGGAATCCCAACATAGTCCACTCATTGTTGATGATGCAGTCAGCTTGCTGACTGATTACAAACCAACTTTATTAAGGAAACCAAAAATGTAATAAAAACGTTCATCTAAACAGGAAGCTGTGAAGTGGGTGTTTCTATGGTTACCTCACTCTACATGACCACAGGGGAAGGATGAGCTCCTATCTCTCACCTGGTTTCTGTCAGGTCAGAGTTCAGGTCCTACTAGATTACCCACAATTCACAGCTGCACAATCTAACGGTTGTTTTAAGCTTAGTGATTGGACGCTGCATCTTGAAAAGCTTTTTGAGGTTGTAGTCAAATGAGTGACCCGCACTTGTAGTTCAATTATGGAACTGATCCTGGATCAGATGTTTTAATGGTTGAGCAAATGAACTAAAGTCTCAGATGTTTTATTAGCTTTTGTTCAACAAAAGTTTTGTTATTTAATGTGTGTTACCATATAACTATAGCTGATTATTTCTAATGCATGGCCCCTCTGGGACACCGTACATGGGTGCAGGTTTTCAGCTGACTGGATTTTGTGGAGCGTTTTTCAACTAAAGGACAGTTTTTAATGATTTAACTTTAACTTTGTTGGTTATTAGACCGGTCCAGTCCAACTGGTTTTGGGTCAGGTATTGTATGAGATAGAAATTCTGCTGTAAAACTGTCTGCCTTCACAATAAAAGCCCAGAACTGAGTTCCTCAAAGCTGCTTCAGTTTGGTTCTTCTGATTTGGGTTTTTACTCGGAGCTGCTGATCAGCTGGTCTCCATGTGCTGAATGTTTAGGAACGATCAACAAATGACACATTGCATATCACACACACACACACGTGTGGATGTGACCACGGATTGATTCTGACTTGTTTTAATTGGCTGAAAGAATAGGACACGCCCATTTCCCCAGATTTGATTGGTCTGTGGACTCACCTCTACAAACCACCAGCTCTTACTAATAGATCCATTTTTAATCTAGTCAGAAATAAAAATGTAATATTTTTTATTATCTTATTTACTTCTCATCTTCCATAAAACAATATTTTGGAACATTAAGGCCTCATTAAAATGGGAATTTCTAATTGTCTTTCATGAATTCTGAGTCTAGAGTGAGTGAATCAGGTCTAACCTCACCTGGAACTTCAGGCATTTCCTTTCAACCTCAACAAACGAGTGGTGGCTCCTACTGATTTTCTGAATCCCTAAAACTGATGTTTCGTTTAGATTTTGTGGGAAGTAAAGGATACTAAAACGACTGCTGGGGTGTTTAGTTTTTAATCTTTAGTAAAAACTTGATTTTTGTGACAAACATTTTTATTATTTCAGGCTTGCTTTTCTACTCTGTTAGAAATTGTATTTCCAGATATGTCTGTCATAATTCTAATTTTTACATTTATATAAATCAAAGTTCAGGGTTGGAAGACGTCCATTAAAATTTTGATCTTTCTGCCTAAAAATATGAATTTCTATTAAACCAGCAGGAGGAGCGTGTGGGCGTAGTTTCAGAATATTGCATTATTTATGACATCAAAAATGTTTATTCAGAGTACAAACAAACAAACAAACTTAGGAAACTTTTCCAGAAACATTAGTTTCTCTCCTCAAACTGGGATTTGTTTTTCAGCAGGAACGCTGCCAGATACTCGATGGGGTTTGGAGGTCTGGAGGAGAAAAAGAAGATTCAGACCCAAACATCAGGAGCTTTTACGTTCCAGAGAGAGAAGTATAGTCTGGAGTCATTTAAAAATACAAACTTGACTTTTCTCATACTACTCATCAGTTTACCTGGAACCAGGTGTGTGTGTGTGGTGTGTGTGTGTGTGTGTGGTTTAATTCATTTTATTTAGGAAGCCTCTCTGAAAGCTCCATACAGGGAGTATACAGGTAGATATAACACATTGAAAACTAACAAGGTACACAATAATGGCACATCTAAAACAATAAAAACTTGGAGTGTGTGTGTGTGTGTGTGTGTGTCCCACCTCTCCTTGGCGAGCACAGACAAGCCCTGCAGCAGGATTGGAACCACCGTCTGGTCCAGGTAGGCCCGGGTTGGCAAAGCCTGCAGGTCCACCTTCTGCTTCGATAGCTTCTCCATGCTCACCTTTTCATTTTCCGCCAACCTCTGAGAAGAAGCAAAGCATGCTGGGAGTCTGTCCCCGATCATCAGTCAACACAGATCTGTGTGTGTGTGTGCTACCTGGACGTTGTCTGTCAGGCCGAACTCTGCGTGAGGGTTTTCAGAGACCTGCATGAGGATTCAGGATCAATGAGGTTCTGATGATTCATTTCATGAACAGCTGTGTGTCTGTGTGTGTGTGTGTTTGTTACAAACTTATGCGTATTACATAATATTGTCTGTGTGTGTGTTACATACAGATGGGTGTATATTAGATGCATCTGTATATGTGTTACATACAAGTGTGTGTGTGTGTGTGTATGAGATGCAGCTGTGTGTGTGTTACATACAGGTGTGTGTCCCTCCATGGACTGATCTGCATCTGTGTGATCTGAAAATCAGACTTAAGTTACTTATTGATCGCATACTCAGTTCAAATTTTATAAACGGAAACGAATGTTTTATTTCAGCTGACTCGTTCATTTCTACAGTCTACAGTGAAACGAACCAATCAGAACGTAACGTCCTCATCACGTATGTAGAACCGTCTTCGGTGAATAGCTTCATAAACATATATGTTAAGCCCAGACCTAATCTGGACCTGATCCAGGTGGAATCAGGATCGAACCGTTCCGTGTCCGAATTCCGCGCTGAATACGGCGGTGCTTTAGCTTAGCATGCCGCTACCAAAGCAGCGCTTTTCCCGCTTATTAAACCTCAATGACGAGCTGAAGGAGGCCTCGAAGCTCCGCAAAGCTGCTAAACCGTCAGGTAAAACTGAAAATCCGCGACACAAAAGACTGAGTTATAAAAAAACAACGATAAAACCGATCAATGTAACAACACACTCACCGTCCGCCATGTTTGTTGTGAATTTGGACGTAACAACGTCTATTACGTCACTTCCGTCCTGGAACTACAAAAAATATATATAAAAATCAGCGTTTCCGGGTCAAGAAGCTTGACGACTCTTAGATTTAAAAAAAATAAAGTTTAGCCGCTTACTGGGAACACACACACACACACACACACACACACACACACACACAAAATCCCATTAACACACCCACTATCAAAACTGTGTAGTTATATGTCTCACTTTAAACATATGTGGAATATGTGGATAGGAGGTAGGGTTAGAGGGTCCTGGCTTTGGACATAAAGGGTCCTCAAGGAAAAAAGACTGAGGACCACTGGACAGGCAATGACCACTCTTCTACAGTGTTTATGCCGTGGTTCATACAGACTAGGGTGTCTGGTCCTAGTCCTGTCTTCCTAGAGACTGAAGATTAGAAAGAAGTGAAAGCTGTCTGAGGCAGCTACAGCATTATAACAGAAGCCATGTTTGAAGAAGAAGAAGAAAGTATAATTTCTATAGCGCCTCTCAAGATAAAAATCACGAGGCGCTTCACAAAAACAAAAAATGTAAAAATATAAAAAAGCATTTAGAAAATGTTTAAAAATATATTTAAAATGAGCAAAATAGACAATTGGGGTTAAAAAATGTTAAGAAAGAGAGATAGTGAATAGGAAAGAGGGAAATCAGTGGATCCTGAGGAAGGTGAAATAGGTGGGGAGAGCAGAATAAAGAGAGAGAGGTGAAGAAGGTCATACAAAAGCCAGCTTGATCAAGTGAGTCTTCAGCTGCTTTTTAAAGGAGACCACTGAGTCCACTGATCTCAGGCTCAGGGGGAGAGAGTTCTAGGGGCCACAGCAGCAGATGATCTTGCAGCCAGTGAAGCTGGAGGAGAAGCGGGGTGATGTGGGTGTGTTTGGAGGACTTGGTCAGAAGCCGAGCACAGGCATTCTGAATCACCTGTAGACGGTTCAGGGAGGTTCTGCTCAGACACGTGAAAAGAGAGTTACAGTAGTCTAAGCGTGAGGAGATGAAGGTGCGGAGAACTGTCTCAAGTTCAGAGCGGGACAGAATGGGACTCAGCTTAGCAACGTTCCTGAGATGGAAGAAGGAAGAGCCAACAAGAGAACTGACATGAGAATCCAGGGTGAGAGCTGGGTCAAAGGTCACGCCAAGATTCCTGACAGAAGGTTTGGTGTGAGAAGCAAGCTGATCAAGAGAGTCTCATTCAGCTGAAGAAAGCTCCCACCATCCAGGTTTTGAACATCTTAGGTGTGTTCTTGCTGTGCGTTATTTCTAATTCCATGTTGTCGTTCTTTTTTAAATCACAGAAACGGTTTTGTCACCTGTAATTGACGCTACAGTTTCGCCGACAGCTGCCGGCTTCTTCAGCGTCAGCATCTCTCCTTCAACGATAAGGCTGAAGGAGAGATGCTGTTGTTTATTTGTTGTTGTTGTTTATAGAAACTAAATATATCTGCAGGGCTTTAGGCCCAGGACAGAGTTTTAGACCTCAGAGCAGCTTTAGGTCATGACCTGTTATTAATAGTATCATGTTCTTTACACCAATCTGAATATTCTGTAATGTTCACAGACATCCGAACCTTAGAAATGAAATATAATCAATATTAAAATAAAAATTATTAATATAATTTTTTCTGTTAGATTAGTTATCTGTTATACTCATTTACATTTGATAGTCATATGATTAACAATATATCTTTTATCATTTGTGGGTTTAGTGCATTCACTCAATATTAATTATAAAATTACAAATGACAGATCACTACAGTCTGGGCATGGAAAGTGTTTCTAGGAACTAACGCTTGTTCAGCAGCTCACCTGTTCTGACAGGAGAAATCTTCTAATCGGCAGGTGATCAGCAGGGTGTCATGACTGAACCCAGGCCCGAAAAAAACAAAGAGACGACTAAAAACACCGACCTCAGATCGGCCCACCGGGAATTTGGGTCCTGGTTCCGCTCATCACGTTAACTCTCATTGTGATATGTCAGAGCTGGCTCTGTTAGAAACCCAGCGCCTGGTGCGCGCTGTTTGTGTTTGTATACAACCGGAGAGAGACTATTAAGTGAGCGCGAGACGAGATTTTGACGGAACTTTTTTCTGATTATTCCAACTGACGGATTTCCGTCGCCACGACAGAGAACGTTAATCCCTGCAGTAAGATGCATGCATATGTGCTCTCTTTAAAGAGCAAGTCACCTCCAAATCACATTTTTTTGCCGATAAACTATATAAAGGAGTGTCTAATCGTGCTGCAGACACGTGTCGTCAATAATTTGGCAGTTCAGTGCATTTTGGTTAAAATTAAAATAATCTGCCTAAAACTGTCAGTGTTGCCCCGTCGTCAGGGAAAAATTCTGCACTGTATTTGAATTTAAATCTGCCACCGCTATTGGCTAAGAGGTATGCTATGATGTCATCTGGTACATTATGATGTCATAATGCCATTGTGAGCCTGTGTGTGTGTATTTGTTAGCAGCTCTGCCCTCTCGGTCTGCCAAGCAACAGCATTTGTTGCATTTTTCAAACATGAAGTGGAGTGAAGTAAGTTTCTTGTAGGGGGTGACTTGCTCTTTAATAATTTAAGGTGTAATCATACCTTAGATTTAATTATTTCGTTGTGATGGTAAATGGTATGTATTTGTATAACGCCTTCTTGGAGTTCTACAACCCCCCAAGGCACTTCACAACACAATCATTCACCTTCCTATTCATACACACATCACCTAATGCGTAAATACGTACCAGTTCCATTATATAATGTGAACAAATCAAGTGTTTTTATTACTTGTGTAAAATGAGTCAATCCGGAAATCTGTGACCTTTATTGCATGTGTAATTATAAAAGCATCAGAACATGTGTAATAAGTGAATTAAAGTGTTTATAAAATATCAAATGGGACATTTGTCACGTTGTGAGATTGCATAAGCAACTAACTGATCATTAGCTGAAAAAAGGAGATAACAATGGTTAGAACATGCTAACTCCACACAGAAAGGCTGCAAGAGGACAGCAGAAATAAAAGCCTTGAGCTCATTTTAAGACTTCTTCTATGTTTCTTGAATTCTGTGTTTGATGATTTAGAAGCTCTGGGTTTTAGCGCTTGTATCAAGGCCGAGTCGTCGGAGTGGTCTGAGCTTCTAATGTCACAAACAGCTCATTTAAAAAGGGAAATTGTGAAGTTTGTTTCAGTCACTGAGCCAAAAGGCCATTTCAAAAAGAAAGATCAAAGTGAGATGGTGCACGAGGGATCTGGAAGACGCTGTGGGTTAGAAGGATCTGGAGATCATCAGTTCCCATGTCATTAAAGGATAAATGGGATGAGGGCTCTCCTGGAGCGAGGGTAGTCTCCAAACCTCGTCTTGTAGTCTCTGTAGGCCAAACAGAAGCAGCAGGTTACAAACATCTGCAGAAGATTTCTGGGTTCTTACCAGAAGTTTTACTGTAAAACCCGTGAGCTATGAATGCACTTCAGACCAAGCGGTTCTCCTGGAAGGCTTTTATTTCCTGACAGGTTCAAGATTATTCATCAAAACGCTAAACTCAGTTCTGGTGTATCAGGAGCCTAGCTCCATGTCTCCTACAGCTGCTGGAAACTCTGAAGCTTTTCACAAATTCTTTGTTGATAAAGTGTCGGGCATTAGAGCAGCTATTTCTGGTAACTCTGTTGACCCTGTTCCAGTTCATCCATCACCACCCACCCTGAGCTCCCTCAATACTGTTTCATACTCTGAGCTGAGTAAGCTTGTTGCGAGACAGAAGCCATCTGGCTCTCCACTTGACGTTCTGCCGCCTCGTCTCTGGAAGGCTGCCTTTCCGTGCCTTGGCCCTTCACTTGGTCAGATTATCAATGGGAGCCTCAGCACAGGTGTGGTCCCAGCTGCTTTGAAAGCAGCAGTTATTCGGCCGACCCTGAAGAAACCTGGTGCTGATGTCTCTGTGATAGAAAATTACAGGCCTATCTCTACCCTGCCCTTTACATCTAAACTGCTTGAGAAAGTCGTTTATCAGCAGCTGCTCTCACATTTAGCTGACTCTGATCTGTTTGATGTTTTCCAATCAGGGTTCAGGTCTGGCCATAGCACAGAGTCTGCTCTACTGAGGGTTCTAAATGACATCTATCACTAGATCAGGGTACATCTGTGCTGCTTCTGTTGTTAGACCTAACAGCAGCCTTCGACACAGTTGACCACGCGATTCTACTCGATCGCTTGGAACGATGGGTTGGGATCAAAGGGTCAGCTCTGGACTGGTTTAGATCGTATCTCCAAAACAGGACATTCTGTGTTAAACTGGGTGATGTTTTTTCTTCTTGGGAGGGGCTCCGCTGGGGGGTCCCGCAGGGGTCGATCCTTGGTCCTCTTTTGTTTGCCATTTATCTGCTACCTCTGGGGTCAATCTTTCGTAAACATGGCCTATCATTCCATCTGTATGCTGACGATTGCCAGATTTACTCTCCATTGTGTCAGGAGAAAGGTCACTCTATCCAGTCCTTTGTCTCCTGTCTTAACGAGGTGAAGTCTTGGCTAATGGCCAACTATCTACATCTGAATGAGGGAAAGACAGAGCTCATTGTTTTTCACCCCAACAGCAGGAATGTGGATTGTTATGCTGATCTTGGCCCTCTTTCTCCCTACTCATAACCAGTTGTTACCAGTTTGGGGGTGAAACTTGATGCTGGACTTAAATTTGATGCTCACATCAATTCTGTGGTCCGGTCCGGTTTCTTTCACCTGAGACGCCTTGCTAAAATCAAGCATATGCTGTCGAGAGCCCACCTGGAGCGGGTACTGCATGCCTTTGTTATTTCTCGGCTTGACTACTGCAACTCTCTATATGCAGGGTTGTGTCAGTCATCACTGCGTCGCCTACAGGTTGTGCAGAACAGCGCTGCCAGGTTCCTGACTGGGACCAGGAAACGGGACCACATCAGTCCGGTTCTGACCTCTCTGCACTGGCTTCCGATTTGCTATCGCTCACAATTCAAAATCCTCGTCTTTGTTAATCATTTCTTCCAGGGTGGTGGTCCCCCCTATCTGGCCACACTCCTGAAAAGACACTCCCCATCACGCACTCTGCGCTCCTCTGACCAAGGCCTGCTCGCTGTCCCTCGGTCTAGGTGTCGTACCCGTGGGGACCGGGCTTTCTCAGTCCTAGCACCGTCACTCTGGAACCAGTTGCCACCCTCAGTTAGGCTGTCCCCTTCTCTGCCAGTCTTTAAGAACCACCTAAAAACACACCTCCTCCGCTTGGCGTTTCCAGAACATGTTTGATTTTGGCCCTCTATTATGTTGAATCCATTCCACAGTTTTCATTGGTACACTCAATCCATCCACTCAATCCAAATGTGTTTCACACATTTGTCCTTTACCAGAATGTTTCATCTATCTTGTAATTTCCATTTTGTATTTTGTAATTTGAATTTCTTTTATTGTTGATTTATTCAATATATTTACATACAACTGTACAATGTTCAGCGCTTTGGGCTTCCTGACAGGGTTGCGGAAGGCGCTTTATAAATAAAGCTTTGATTGATTGATTGATTGATTGATTTTATCATCTTCAAGTGTTCATCTCCACCCCCCTCAGACTGCAACACTGTCCACAAACACCTAAACCTAAAGTAGTCCCTGGTCTAAAGTGACCCCTACTCAGCTCAATCCCTGGACCAAAGTAGTCCCTGGTCTAAAGTAATCCTTGTTCTTACATAAACCCAGGTTTAAACTAATCCCTGTCTAAAGTAATCCCTGCACTAAAGTAATCCCTGGTCTAAAGTAATCCATGTTCTTACATAAACCCAGGTTTAAACTAATCCTTGTCTAAAGTAATCCCTGCACTAAAGTAGTCCCTTGTCTAAAGTAATCCCTGTTCTTAAATTAACCCAGGTTTAAACTAATCCCTGTCTAAAGTAATCCCTGCACTAAAGTAGTCCCTTGTCTAAAGTAATCCCTGTTTTTAAATTAACCCAGGTTTAAACTAATCCCTGCACTAAAGTAGTCCCTTGTCTAAAGTAATCCTTGTTCTTACATAAACCAGGTTTAAATTAATCCCTGTCTAAAGTAGTACCTGGACTAATATAGTACCTGGTCTAAAGTGACCCCTACTCAGCTCAATCCCTGGTGTAAAGTAATCCATGGTCTAAACTAATCCCTGTTCTTACATAAACCAGGTTTAAATTAATCCCTGTCTAAAGTAGTACCTGGCCTAAAGTAGTCCCTGGTCTAAAGTGACCCCTACTCAGCTCAATCCCTGGTGTAAAGTAATCCCTGGTCTAAACTAATCCTTGTTCTTACATAAACCAGGTTTAAACTAATCCCTGGTCTAAAGTAGTACCTGGACTAATATAGTACCTGGACTAAAGTAGTCCCTGGTCTAAAGTAATCCATGTTCTTACATAAACCCAGGTTTAAACTAATCCCTGTCTAAAGTAATCCCTGCACTAAAGTAGTCCCTTGTCTAAAGTAATCCCTGCTCTTAAATTAACCCAGGTTTAAACTAATCCCTGGTCCAAAGTAATCATTGGTCTAAAGTAATCCCTTGTCCAAAGTAATCCTTTGTCTAAGGTAATACCTGATTTTAAGTAAACCCAAGTTTAAACTAATCTCTGGTGTAAAGTGATCCCTAGCCTGGATTAAAGTAGTCCCTGGTCTACAAAAACCCTAGTCTAAAATAATACCTGGTCTAAATCAAGTAAACCCAGATTTAAACTAATTTCTGTTCTAAGGGACACTTTGGTCTAAAGTAATCCCTGGTCATAAGTAATCAGTTGTTTAAAGTAATCACTGGTCTAAGGTAATCCTTGTTCTTGAGCAAACCCACGTATAAACTAATGTCTGGTCTAATGTAATCTCTGGACTAAAGTAATCCGTAGCCTAAATTAACCCCCAGTCTAAAGTAATCTTTTGTCTAAACGAATCCCCGGACATTGGGTTGTGTTGACGATGATGGTTCTGGTTAATGACCTCTGAGGGGTCTGTTTTCTGAGGGGTCACAGGTCATAGCGGTCTGGTTTAGACCTGTTCCTTGGTTCTCCTCCAGATTTGCTGAAGAGTTCAAGATGTTCTGATCTGCTGATGATGAACTAGTCAAACTGGACCTTCAGAACATCTCAGATTGTTAGGTTGTAAACAAACAAACCAAGCAGAGCAGAAGGAAGCTGTCTACACCTGGATCACCTGTGTGACTCTTTAAGCTACAGATTAGACACAGACGGAGGACAACGGCTCAATCTGCCACGGGTACAGGAACATTCTCTTCAACTGGTGATAAACTTTAAATATTGACTTTAAAATGTCTGAAGATGAAACAAGTCTACACTTTATTGTTTAACTTGTTGAAACTCTGCCTTAAATCTGATTTCTTTGCTAGATGTAGAATATTTATGTTAAATCGTGTTTTTTGAATTAGGATTATTTCAGATAATGATCATGAACTGTGCATTGTTTCCAGCCTGAGGTCTCTGTCAGTAAAAGCTAAACGGTAACGGAGGCAGAGCGGTTCCAACACGTTTGTTCTGCCTTTTCAGGTTTGAGCAGAAAAAAGAAAAGAACATGACGGTGATCCCTAGAGCCAGCCCGAAGCAGATCCTGGATCTGTTCTGACCTGCTTCTGGAGCATGTTGAGGCCTGAGGAGATGTTTTCTTTTCAAACAGGAAATAAAAGTCAGGGAAAATATTACGTGAATAACTGTGTTTCTGTTTCAGTTCATCGTGGCTCCACAACAGCACGGTTCCTTTAACTGCATCAGAAACTGACACCATTAGAATGAAATGGACTGAACCAGTACCGATGGTGCTGGCAGGCTCTGGGCCCGATGGAGCAGATAGTGAAGAAAGCGAAGGCGAAGGCCGGCAGGGACCACGCTGCCACGGCGTAGCCGCACCACTCCAGGATCTCACCCAGGAAGTTGGCTCCAGACACAAACTCAAACATCCCACCTAAAAGGTCAACAGGAGGTCACGGCTTAGCCATCAGAACTCATCTATCTGGATCAGAACCAGCTGTACCGTGTGGGATCCTGTAAACCAACTCTCCAGGTTTTCTCAGGTTCCTCAGAAGGTGGTCGCTGTGGATGTTGATGATCAGGCCGATGAAGAAGAGCAGGGCACCTGCAAAGGACAACAGCTACATTATTCACCAGGTCTGCTGGGTCCAGCAGGACTTCCTGTTCGATCAGCTCTACCTGGTAAACACAAGACCAACATCATCATCACTCATCAGGACCAAAGACCAGAACAAATACCTCGATCTAGACCACATTTATTTATATCCTTCTGGTGGAAGGAACACACGGTGGTTCTTTGGACCATGATGGTCCACAACCGGGTTGCTTTTTCCTCTTGATGATGGAGGGGAGGAGCTTGTTGTAACTCACCTGCTGTCAGACGAGGGCTTGTCAGCCAAGTGGGCTCAAAGTGGGTGCAATATAGCAAGTGGTGCCCCTGCAGGAAGCCGTTCAGTGAGCAGAAGATGAAGGCAGAGACGACAATCTGCAGTGGGACTGGACGTCCCCGAGTCTTCAAAGAGTAGACAAAACTCCTGAAAACAAACTTGGGTCACTTCCTGTTTGGTTATTTGACTCCACCCACATTTAACCATCTCCACCTAAAACTAAAAACATTTTTTGTCAGCATTCTGGAGAAGGTCCTGGCTGAGGCCAAACACAGCGTGAGAGGACAGGGCACTCAGTCATACCATAAAAGGAAAAGATACCAGTGCTTTCCAGAACTAAAGGGGGCGCTATTTTCTGTGTATTGTTTTTATGTTAAAACATTTAGCTACAACTAAATTATTGTTGCTTTACTTTTTTCCACAGTTTTTAACAAAAGATCTTTTGTACATCGTTAAACAAAATATATTTCCTCAACCATCGTAGTTCCATTTGTAGCTTCCAAGTCGAAAAAGGCAAAAAGGGCAAAATAACTTTTCTGTTACCCAGTTCCCTTTACTCAGCTCTAATTTAAGTGGCAAGGTGGAGCAACGAGGGCCCGGGCGGGACTCGATCCCCAGACTCCCGAGTGAGAGTCACTTGCTCTAACCAGTCAGCCAGGGCGCATCGGAGCCAGGGATGTCTCTTTGGCTGACTGGTCAGCGCACGTGACTGTCACCCGGGAGTCTGGGGATCGAATCCCTTGCCACACTTACATTACATCATCCATGTGGACTCTTCAGGGATTGTTTTGAGCGGAGAGGCGCAGAGCTCTGATCAATGACGCTGCGTCCTGAGCACGGCCACAGTAACATTCTCAAAGTGTCGTCAAATCAAAAACAAAGTTAACACGTGATCGTTCATGTCGGCTCATTTCCTTTTATGTTTTCTGTCTTTTATTTGTGCCTGATGCGTTTCGCTGCTGCGGTGTAGAGCGCATCACCTGTTTTGTCCTACAGTGAGAGACTTCACCTCACCGGTGCGGCCGGCGAGCACTCCGCTGTTTTAGCGGTCGGTAGATCTTTTAGAACTGCAGCTCAAAGGTAACTCATAAGGTGAATATATATGAACCCAGGTAGCAGTTTTTCTTTAGGATTGAGAGGAGATGCAGGAAGAAAATAAACAGGCAGGACAGAAAAATAGTCAAATAAAAACAAGTTAGTTTTTGTACCTGCTGGTTGCAACAAACAGACGCCATTGAAGGTAATCAGACGTGAGGAACAGAAAATGAAAATATTCTGTCAATGTTTAGAGCAGCAGGAACTCTGAGAGGCTGCAGGCGCATCAGTGAGTTTGCAGCCGCTGCGCAGGGGGAGGGGGGGGAGGGCTGAAGCAGGGGGAGGGGGCTGAAGCAAGGGGAGGGGGCTGAAGCAGGGGGAGGGGGGAGAGGGCTGAAGCAGGGGGAGGGGGGAGGGGGCTGAAGCAGGGGGAGGGGAGAGAGGGCTGAAGCAGGGGGAGGGGGCTGAGGGCTGAAGCAGGGGGAGGGGGGAGGGGTTGAAGCAGGGGGAGGGGGATGAGGGCTGAAGCAGGGGGAGGGGGCTGAAGCAGGGGGAGGGGGCTGAAGCAGGGGGAGGGGGATGAGGGCTGAAGCAGGGGGAGGGGGGAGGGGGCTGAAGCAGGGGGAAGGGGGAGAGGGCTGAAGCAGGGGGAGAGGGCTGAAGCAGGGGGAGAGGGGGCTGAAGCAGGGGGAGGGGGAGAGGACTGAAGCAGGGAGAGCAGGGGGAGGGTGGAGAGGGCTGAAGCAGGGGGAGGGGGAGAGGACTGAAGCAGGGGGAGGGTGGAGAGGGCTGAAGCAGGGGGAGGGGGAGAGGACTGCAGCAGGGAGAGGGGGGAGGGGGCTGAAGCAGGGGGAGGGGGGAGAGGGCTGAAGCAGGGGGAGGGGGGAGGGGGCTGAAGCAGGGGGAGGTGGGAGAGGGCTGAAGCAGGGGGAGGGGGGAGAGGGCTGAAGCCGGGGGAGGGGGAGAGGACTAAAGCAGGGAGAGGGGGGAGGGGGCTGAAGCAGGGGGAGGGGGGAGAAGGCTGAAGCAGGGGGAGGGGGGAGAGGGCTGAAGCAGGGGGAGGGGGAGAGGACTGCAGCAGGGAGAGGGGGGAGGGGGCTGAAGCAGGGGGAGGGGGGAGAGGGCTGAAGCAGGGGGAGGGGGGAGGGGGCTGAAGCAGGGGGAGGTGGGAGAGGGCTGAAGCAGGGGGAGGGGGGAGGTGGGAGGGGACTGAAGCAGGGGGAGGGGGGAGAGGGCTGAAGCAGGGGGAGGGGGGAGGGGGCTGAAGCAGGGGGAGGGGGAGAGGGCTGAAGCAGGGGGAGGGGGCTGAAGCAGGGGGAGGGTGGAGAGGGCTGAAGCAGGGGGAGGGGGAGAGGACTAAAGCAGGGAGAGGGGGGAGGGGGCTGAAGCAGGGGGAGGGGGGAGGGGGGAGAGGGCTGAAGCAGGGGGAGGGGGGAGGGGGGAGAGGGCTGAAGCAGGGGGAGAGGGCTGAAGCAGGGGAACAGTAAAGATGCAAAAACTACCGTTGTTAGAAGAGATGTGTTTGACTTTGAAAATGCGGGCGCAATTTTAATTACTTGGTTTTGTCAACATGGCATGGTACGAGGGCTGATAAGAAGTTTCTTTGACTCAAGGTCCAGATGTTTTGCCTGCCGGTGTTGTGCCAAAGTAGTTACCCCCGTCAAAAATTGTTTCCCCTTGGTTTACACTGTTTTTGTTGGAGTTGCTATCACGAAATAGTTTATTTGCAAAATAAGTCACAGTATAACTACTAACTACAGAAACTTTGGAGAACATTAAACGTTAAATTAAGAAGTCTAAAAAAAGAAAATGTTCTCCAAAGTTTCTAGTTGTTAGTTATACTGTGACTTATTTTGCAAATAATCTATTTCGTGATAGCAACGCTGATGTGCATTATTGATGGGGGGCGCACATTTTGGCAGCCGAGGCCACACAGCCTGATAAAATCTGTATCCCTCCTTAACTTTTGCTGTGAAGAAACCCTCTGCAACGTTACTGTAGTTATTGGTTATATGATTGATTTGGCAAATAAACTATTTCCTAATAGCAACGCCAACAAAAACAAAGTGTAAACCGAGTGTAAATTCACCGGAGAGCGACGTGTTTCCCAGTAGCGTGTCCAGATCCTGTAAAATGGGGTGGCCCAGGTGAGGCACAACTTTGTGCATGGGTGGCACCAAAGGTTATGCTTTTTTTGTTTTACCCCCGCCCCCCCCCCCCCCCCCCCCAAGCCTTTTGTGGACAACAAAAATCCTATTTAAAGGTAAATTAGTGTGTTGGCACCTGGGGTGGCCAATTAGATTCCAAGGGTGGCATGTGCTACCCCAGGCCACTCCCTGGACACACCCCTGGCGTTTCCATGATCACGTCTGGTTTTACAGTATTACAGTATCGCTCCCGTGAGTGGGGAAACAATTTTTAATGGGGGGTAACTACTTTGGCACAACACCTGTTCAGGAATTTCAGTTTTGAGATCGATTTCCTGATAACTTTATCCTATTCAAGACCCCGGGCTCCAGGAAAAGGGCCAGAAAAGTGGAGGAAATGTAAGTTTCCCAGGCAACATGGGAGACTTGACAAGTATGGTAGATGCCTACACACACATACATGCACAACACACACACTGACACACACACACACACACACACACACACACACACACACACACACACACACACACACACACACACACATGCAAACACAGTAGGCCACTAACACGCAAACACACGCATGCACAACACACACATAAACAGTACACAATCACACACACACATACACGCACGCACACACACGCGCGTGTGCGCACCTGTGACATACAAGTCCCAAACTATCCCCACTCCCCCCAGCTATCGACACCTGGTGCATTTCAAAGTAAAAGCACGCGATCAGAAATATGGATGTGGAACTAGACCGGGTTCGGGTTCGTTCTTCCTGTCGCTAGGAGACAAATGCAGATCTCAGATGGTTCCGACCTGTAGAAGTAATGCAGCATGAACATGCAGAGCACCAGGGTCCTCCCGGTCTCGGAGGCTGGTGCTTCGGATCCCAGCAGCAGCACCAGGGGCATCAGAAAGGCCGGGACCTCCTGTAGGAACCAGCCCAGGCGGGCCGGGCAGCAGCGGCTGCCCTCCAGTGAGTAGCGGCCGTACTTCGCACAGGATCGGGTCTGGTGGTGCAGGTAGGCTACCCCCCCGAACACCATCACCCAGCTCAGACCGGTCACCGTCGCGTGCCGGCACTCCGTCATCGCGGTCTGAGGGTGTCGTAACGGAAAGTGCATGTGTGACTTCTTTTAGAGCCCTATTAACTATGTTACACATGCGCGAAAGAGGAAGCTGTGGCGGGAGCGCGCACAGCCTGTCAGCTGGCTCCGTCGAGGGATGGGAAAGTTTGGGCAGCCTTCATGATTTTCCTGTATAAGTCGTTGGTAATTATGACTAAATCCCGGTAAATAAATCGGAGACACATAGTGATATTTGCGAAGTGAACCAAGTTTAAATGATTTACAGAAAGTGTGCAACAATTGTTTAAACAAAATTAGACAGGTGCATAAATTTGGGCACCACCAAAATAATATATATCTATATTTAGTAGTGAAGAAATACACTCCTCGATGTCTAATGGCCTCTGCAAGTAGATCCTCCTTTTGCAGACGTTACTGCTCCCTAGCTTCCAATGAGAGTCTGGTTTTGGACCATTCTTTTGTCTAGCCAGGTTCTTGACAAACACTAGCAGGCGTTCTCACATCACTCCCGTTCTGGAACATCTGCACTGGTTACCTGTAAACGTAAGTGTCAAGTTCAAGCTCCTTACCCTTGTCTTTAAGATTTTGAATGGCTCTGCCCCAGGATATCTGGCCAAGCCGGGCTCTGAGGTCAGCTGACCGTCTGCTGCTCTGTGAGATACAAATCGCGTGGTGGGTGGGCTTTTATGTGTGCTGCCCCCCACTCTATAGAATGCACTCGCACTCTCGATCTGGCTCCCTCCCTCTCTCATTTTAAATCAGTTTTAAAGACTCATGTTTATATGGCTTTCTCCCATTGTTGATGTTTTCTTGTTTGTGTTGTGTTTTATTGTTGTTCTTGCTGTGTTTGTCACTGATTCCTGGACATTGGTCTCCAGAATCTGCTTGAGTGGAATCCACGTGGCCCTAAACTTTAAAGGCCATCTTTCGTTTAAAACACATGTTGAAGTGCTTATATGGTAATATGCCTAAACTTTATATTTTCCCAGTCCCTGCACTGGCCAGACAGCCCCACATCATGATGGAACCTCCACCATGTTTTACTCTAGGTAGCAGGTGTTTGTCTTGGAATGCTGTGTTCCTTTTCCTCCATTATTCCGGTATTGAAGCTATACCTTTCAATCTGTGGAGAAAAAAAACAATCATGGACTCAACCAACTTGACTCATGACAGGGAAGGCTGTTGTTGGTGTCGTCACACCCTGCTGTGAATACTGTTCATCCATCCCACTTCCTGTTTATTTTGGTGTTGCATCTCCTGTTTCAGTTCTGTTTCCTGTTCCTCATCACTCTGATTTCTCAGCTGTTCTTGTGTGTATTTAACCAGCTTCTGTTTCTCTTTCAGTTGCCAGTTCTTTAGTTTGCGATCTCTTGTTCCAGCCACGCATAACTGATCTCTGGGTCCTTTGACTCAGTTCTGTTCTTTGATCCTTAGTTAAATAAGCCTTTGCCTGAATAAAAGCCTTGTTTTGCCGAACTCTGCATTTGGGTCCAGTTCTTCATACCGGCCCTGACAGTTTTAGCGTCCAAGTAGCTAGCCGTTAGCATTAGCAACTTCACCACAAAGCAAAACTTCTTCAGGTTTGTGATATTTGTAGAGATAAAACATCAACATTGCAGAGCAAACAGAGGCAGTGGTAGAGTCACGTTGCTTCTCCAATCTGAGGCAAGATGTTTATGTTTATTCATTTCGCAGACGCTTTTATCCAAAGCGACGTACAATTTTTATAACCTATATGGCATGTTGTGATCTGTGGGGGAAACCGGAGTACCCGGAGGAAACCCACGCTTGCATGAGGAGAACCAACTCCACGCAGAAAGGCGAGTTTTGAACCTGCGACCTTCGTGCTGCAAGGCAACAGTGCTAACCACTGCACCACCATGCAGCCAAGATGTCCAAATATAAGGAAATAAGACAAATCATGCCGCCTGAAACTCTCCGCTGATGTGGCATTCTGCTAGTTCCTGAAACAAGCACATCTGAGCTTTTCTTCCCCAGAGTACGACTTAGAAGGCATTCATTCCTTCAGCCACACCTTTAAGGACCAGAGGCATCTGGTGGGGCTGAGGAACCAAAGGATTCCTCCTCATAAATCTTTATAAAAAGTCAAATGAACAGTTGGGGAAAGACCACAAATCCACATTAAAAAATGTTCACAGATAAACCACCTGCAGCTAAACTGTGATCGTGTTCACAGCAAGGGGTTTGCTGCTCCTGGAGACCTTTTGTGTTGTTTGGTGCGGAATAAAAGGTCCTGTTCCATCTGATGTTTAACCAGAATTAGAATCTCTTTCAGGAACACCGTGTTAAACCAGTGTTTCCTAACCTGAGGTCCATGACCCCTCAAGGCATTGACGGCACCAGGATTTTTTTCTCTGCAGTATCTTAATAGTTACTTCTAGTGACTGTAAGGAGTTGCTGTTAATCACTTTCATATTAAAGACCAAGTTACACTGTCATGAGGAAAATGAATGAGGAAGCATCTTCATATAATAATTAACAGATAGAAAAGTTATTGTATTTTTGTTACAAAGTGAAAATAACTTTGAACTGTATTAAATCTGAAATTTGATGTCCCAAAGCCAACACACACACACACACACACACACACACACACACACACACACACACACACACACACACACACACACACACACACACACACGCACACACACACGCACACACACGCACACACGCACACACGCACACACGCACACACACGCACACACACACACACACATACACTATGGCCAGGGAAGGTGAAGCTTCTTTATAAATTGATGCCCGGGCAGAATAACGCGTCTGTTGTGATTCACAGGAAAGCACGGGCGATTTGATGCTCATCAAGTGCTCCTGCACGTTCTGCATCAGCAAAGCCAGGTTGCTGTTTTGAATCCAAATCAGTGATTTAAAATATGCTTGTTAAAAGGCACGGCCTCTAATGTTTGCTGATGATACTTTTCTTTTAATGTCATTCAAACATGGATGGTCTGGTATGAGAAGCAAACAAAGAATTCAGTTTGGTTGGAAGTTAAAAAAAATTGACAAAATTGTCCAAAAAAATTCTAATTATTTCAGAACAAAAACCAAAAGATAAAGAACAGAAGATTTAAATCTATTTATTGAGGGAATCACCATCGTCCAAGTGTGTCAAACTAAATTGTTAGTTTTTATTATTGATGAAATGACCCGCACTTGTTTAGCGCCTCTCAGAGTAAGGACTCCAAAGCGCTTTACACTACAGTGCATCATTCACCCATTCACACACACATTCACACACTGGTGGGGATGAGCTACGATGTAGCCACAGCTGCCCTGGGGAGCACTGACAGAGGCGAGGCTGCCGAGCACAGGCGCCACCGGTCCCTCCGACCACCACCAGCAGGCAAGGTGGGTTAAGTGTCTTGCCCAAGGACACAACAGCAGAATTCTCTGTCTGGAGCGGGATCGAACCTGCAACCTTCCGATTACTGGACAACCCGCTGATGAGAAGGTAACTTGGAAACAACACACTGAATTTGTCTGTAGAAAGATCTAGAAATCACTCATGATCTTGAGTCGAATTCGTCATTTTATTAATCGTTCTTGTTTGCTGTCATTATTAGGTCGTTATTGTTATTATTAGTCATTATTCGGAAGCGGCTGGTCCGATTTGGCCCAGCTTGTGACCCGGTGGCTCCGAGACGTCTGATGGATTACTCTGCGCCTGCCTTGTGAACTTGGCCGGCTTTGAAGGTGAGCTGGCACGGCGCCGCAGCCGTTCGGCTCGAGGACCTCGCCAGACTGGGGTTTGCTGAGAGAATCTGTGCTCGGTCACGGCCTCTGAGCTGGAGGAGACGGTGCCCGTGCGCGATCCCGGTGCTGCGTCCCCGCCGCAGACCCGGTTTGGTCTGGTCAATGCCAGGTCTGTGCTGAACAAAACTTTTATTCTTCGGGATTTTTTTTCAGCATGACTTGGGTTTTCTCTGCATCTGTGAGTCCTGGATCCCGTTTGGTGACTCAAGCGCCCTGCTGGAGCTGGTAACACCTGGCTGCTCGTGTTTCAATATCCCCAGATCACGGGGCAGAGGTGGAGGGCTGGTTGTTGTTTTTAAATCCAGCTTTCCTTGTAAACAGCTTACACCCACCATGTCATTTTCTTCCTTTGAACTGTGCATCTCCCCCCGCCTGCTCGTTGTGCTGATTTATCGGCCTCCAAAGACTGACTCTAACTTCCTTAATGATTTCTGTGATCTTGTGGCAGACTGCATCCTAAAATATGATTATGTCCTATTTTTTGGTGATTTTAACATCCATATCTGCTGTCCTGACAATGTGCTTGCTAAATGTTTTTGAATTTGCTAGATTCATTCAATCTAACTCAATGGGTATCGTCCCCAACTCATGCCAGGGGTCACACCCTGGACCTGGTTCTCTCTTTTGGTCTCCCCGTCATGAACCTTGTGACTTTGCCTCCTGTGTTCTCTGACCACTCTCCAATACTCTGTGATGTTACGTTGCCATGTCCTGTCCCTGTGTGCGAAGCTCCAGCTACTAGGTTCAGAGCCCTGGATGCAGAAACTATTTCAAAGTTTGTGGACTGTATGTCTGTGTGGCAAGGTGGAGAAATGAGGCCACCTTGCCACACTACTTTAATGTTTTACCTTTTTTGCACTATTTGAATTGCTTTAATCATCAATTTATTCACCGTGTTTCACATTTCTCATGTACTGTGCTCAGCGCCTTGGGCTTCCCGACAGGGTCGCAGAAGGCGCTTTATAAATAAAGTTTTGATTGATTGATTATTTATCCATTTATAACATATTGTGTTTTGGGTTCAACTCAATCATATCTTCATAAGATTCTAAATTTCAAAATATATTTTTGCTATAATGAACGTTTCAAAGGTGCAAAAGGTCTTAATATGCTCCTCTTTTAAAAAAAGACAAAATTCTGACAATATTCAAGCTGAACAAATATTGTGTATTTCTTTTTATGTGTCCTCCGTGCATATGAATCAGAAAAATGTAATAGGAAAAATAACACAGAATGAACTTAATGAAGATTAATGTAATCAGATTTAAACTCTAAAACAACCGAAATATTCAATCAAATTAAAAAAAGAAGGCATTTGTGTTTAAAACTGTGATTAATATTTATTACTGTTATTGTTTGGTGTGTTTCTTCCTTCTTCTTCTTCTATTCTATTTGATGCCATACCGCCCCCTGGCGGCCGTTGTGTGTGTCACCTCCACCCCCTCCTCCCGCTCCGCTCCGCCGCTATTCCCGGAGACAGCGCCTCCATTTTGCAGGGACAGCCGGCGGATCGGCAGCGGCTCGTGACGGACCGTGCAGCCGACGGAAGGACAGCGTCCCTCGGCGGAACTTTTGGCGGGCTGAAGTAGCTTTTATTTGGGATGGCGGCGCTGCCGCGGCTCGCTGCCCGGGCGGAGCGGGGTTTCTGAGGATTTATTTATGCGTTGTTTCTGTTCCTGCGCTGAAATCGTCCTTCTAACGGAGCGGAGGAGAGGAGGCGGTTCGGTTCGGATGATCAGGTACTGTTATGAGCTAATTATTGATTATTGTCTTTGAGCTCCAGCTTTGTCTGATCCTCTCAGCGGCTCGATTAGCGGCGTGAGGCCGCTGCTGCAGCCTCTCGGCCGGCCTGGCGGCGCTGCTCCACCCGGACAGCATCCATCCGGCCCAGGGGGGTGGGGGCGTTATATAATGTGCGTGGAGCGCACGCGCCGCGCTGCGGGATGTGCGTTTGATTTGCAGCTCGTTCCTTTGGTCGGAGGCAGGCGACCGAACCGGGAGGGTTCCGGTTCTCATGCAGGTGCAGCAGGTCAGTCAGTCAAGGTGATGAAACAATCCGGTCCGGTTCGGTGTCAGGCCCGGTTCCGTCATGCTTGAGTTCAATCAGGACAGTCCAGATCCTTCTTTTATTACTGAGAGCGGTCCAGTCCGGTACCAGCCCGGAACAGAATCATGCAGGTCGGTGATGAGGTGTTCCATGGTGGATTAGGAACCCGTGGGTGTGCTACCGAACCCCTACCTCGGTACCAGATCAGATCAAGTGGGTCCAGTTGAGCTCTGTGGACCTGCATCAGAATCTGGAGGTCAGGGGGTCAAATGGGGCCGTGGCCACTTGTGGTTCTGAAGAGGTGGTCTGTGCAGGTAGTTCTGGTCAGGTTCTGATGTTTCAGAAACGAACTCAAGCAGCCTGGTTCTGTTTAGATGTTGGATCAGAAAACGAAAGACCGGACTGGACCTGAACCCCTTACCATAAATTGTTGCTGAGTTTTGGTACCAGCGGTCCTGTCTACCAAACCCATCCTGGTTCTGATTGCCAGGAGTAGTGAATCCGGTTCTGATAGTTGCAACATCATCATTGGAACAAAGCGGTCTTCTCTCATGGATCAGAACCAGATCCATGTTGTCCGTCCACAAAACCCAAAGAGTTCAACCAGAACTCGCATAGACAGTGTGGCGTCTGAACACGGGTCCAAATGGGTTTCAGTGGTTTTAGTTCTGGTAAAGAGTCCTGGTTCTGTGCAGAACATCTGGATCTACTCTTATAGGTTCAGTTGTACCAGAACTTTCTCAGGCCAGTTCCTGGACAGTTTGTTTGATAGAACTTCCTGCTTGGTGCAGATTGACCCAAAGGTTCTGCTTCTGACTGCGACTGCTGGACAACCCGCTCCACCTGTTGAGCTGCTGCGGCCCAAACCAGTAACGGGCCATTCGTGGGTCCAGCTGGGATCCAGAGCTTTAGAACTGGTAGAAATCAAATCCAGGGTCAGGAAAACCCAACTGCAACCCGAATGTGACGGTACCAGTTCTGAGCTGTGGGTGGAGTTAGTTTTAAAACCATCAGTACCTGCTCGGCGTGACCCAGATGGATTCGGTTCGGCTGGACGGCGTTTCCATCACAAACGGGGTTGCCGTCAGCTTTTCCATACTTACTTCGATGTGGTTCCAAGCGTGCCGAGCCGGGCCGAAAACGCAACATCAGCAACTGTCGGTCCGTGGTTGTGTGGGGGCGGAGTCACCGTTTGCTCCAGGGTTCCACCTGCTGCCCACGGTCTCTTCCAGGTCCAGTCTGACAGCACCACGTCCACCACTGGTGTGTGTGTGTGTGTGTGTGTGTGTCACCTACAGACGCCCCGCGGGCGGGTGATATCCCCCCCCCCCCCCCACTAGAGTAGTTTTTTTCGGTCGTAATGGAAAAGCGAGTCGGTTCTGGTGGAAATGATGCTTAAGATGATGTTGTGGACCTTCACTTGGACTCAGTGACCCGGTTCTGATGGAGTACAAATACGTTTCCGATCTTTGGTTAGAAGTGATCGATTGTGGGGAAATCGGGCTGGAGAGGATCCGAAAGGCCTCTGAGCATCATGGGAGGTGCAGGTTCACTGGTCCAGAACCAGGTTCTGTTGGCTCAGTTGGATTAGGACCGTTAATTGTTATGTGGACGTGTCCTCTGTAAACATGGTGCAGCTGTTTGTGTTATTCAGAACCGGATCCAACACATGACCCGGTTCAGGAGAATCTTTAGACCCAAGTATCATATCGATGTATTCTCAGATTGAGTCCATTAGTTGACGTTTCCATGGAAACGTTACCAGAACTGGGTCAGACGTCCGGTTCAGCGTCCGACGCGGGTCATCCACAAGTGTCGGTTTACAGAACCTGGTCAGAACCAGAACCCTTTGTCCTGCATGTTCTGGAACAGGAGCTGGGTGTGTTTGGGGCTGAAGATGGACCCATGTCCTTCCTGTCGGAGTGGTTCTGATAACAAGCCCGTCTCGTTATCTGGGGGCTGCAGATGGACTCGGGTTTGACTCTGAGGAGTTTCTGATCAGATGGGGCTGGGGCCCGTTGTGACCCGACCCGTTTAGCTGCAGTGCCATGGCAACAGACAGCAGGCTGATCAGAGTAACAGGGTCCGAACAGAACCATCCTGCTCTGATACGAACAGATGAGTGCTTCTTTATCATCTAGGTGAAAATTCAGGTTCTGAAGAAAAACCAGAGGATCTAAAGCTGTTAGCATGACCTAGCTAGCGCTAAGCCGTGGTGAGTTCAGGAAGCCCCCAAACCCGATCCTCTGGTCTTGATTTGAACCTGCATCTAAAATTAACTCATGCAGAAAATCAGAGTTTGGAAACCAGATCAGAACCATTTTGCTGGAACGCGATGAGATCAGAAGTTCTGAAAGGGGTTCTGGATCGGGCCTGACCCACAACAGCCCGCTCAGGAAAACCTGGATGGTTTGGAACTGGGTCATGGATCAAATGAAAACAGATGTTTGTGACCCGGTTCGGGTCGGGTTGAGCTTCATCCAGTCAGAATCTCCTGGTGTCAGAACAGGACCCACGGACAGGTTGTGTTCACAGAATCAGAACCATTCAAACTCTGCGTTTCCATGAAAACACGACTCTTGTTTTTGATGTCAGATCGTGTGATGTAACGATGACATCATCAGCCAGAGCGCCATCACCGGCGCCCAGCAGCTTACGATGTGGAAAAAACTGGGTCAGGAGCTGTTGTCCTGGTAACAGGATCAATGGGTCACAGAGCAGCAGGAAGCTGCCCAGGGTATGCTGGGATATGTAGTCCAGATGGGATCGTCTGCTGCGGATCGTTCTGGTGCCGAAACGACACATACCCACCTGCAGGAGGGTCAGAGGTCAGCCAGCAGATGGTCTCACCAGCCACATTCAAATCTGATTGAAAAAGTTCAACATTTAAAGGGACTATAAGGAAGTTTGACAGCCAAAACATGTATAGAAATAATAAATGTCTTCTTCATACATTCTCCTGCAATGCCCTGGTCCTGTAGAATGAGCCCTGGCATTTTTACTGTGATCGCCTGTTTTTCTGTAAAATCACAGAAAAAGAGAGATGCTCGGGTCGAGCAGGCTGCTTCATGCGCGTTCACGCTCAGGCATCGCCCGTAGCATTTGCTATCCGTAGCTTTAGCAGCAGAGAGAGAGGCAGTGCCACTTTGTCGCTGTTCCTAACGCCTAGTGACAAAGCTAGCTACATTTCTGAGGGCCCTTAGCTACTTTCTGTAGAACTTTCTTCTAGATATTTCCTGCTAATTAGCAACAAAATAGCCATTTTCACTCCGAACCGTTCTTTGGTTTGACGTTGTTTCAGCTGTCATCAAGGATATAAAAGTTACAGATACTGTGAATGTTACTAGAGTGTAGCTCACCTAGTAAGACGTTGGACTCTCGTGCAGAAGACCTGGGTTTGATTCTGGATGTGAACATAGTTTATTTAGAGTTTTTTTTTTTACATTAATGGTATATTTTTTTACAGTAAGACGCCCAAATTGTTATTTGTCGGCTGTGCTGAAGAGAAAGGTACAGAACCAAATTATTTAATTAATTAGCTGTGTGTTCTCCTGTCCTCTGTCCTCCCGGACACACACACACACACACACACACACGCACGCACGCACACACACACACACACACACACACACACACACACACACACACACACACACACACGGGACTGTCTCAGCTGTTATTTTCGTTAAGGAGTGTGCACGTACAGCATGCGCGCCTCGTGCACGAGCCTACTATTGAAGCTGCCGTTACGCTTTTGGCCTGAGGGGGCGATCGCGAGCACAATAGTTCTATGGTCTTTAAAAAACGTGCTCATGATGTTCTTCACACTAAATCCCTGATCTCAGCAGTTTTCTGTACCTTCCAGAATGAGCTGTTGCTGGCCACGCCCACCGATGCACTGATTGGCTGGGTGTTTATCACATTAAAAATGGGGGATTGTGAGCGACATACCAGAGTTCTCCACCAACAGCAGCCTTATTTGTGAAGCACCGTGTCGCGTCTTGATGATTTAAATCCAGACATCACTCGGGTCGTGTCCTACATGCACGCTCAAAGCTAGTTCATGTCCATCTGTGACGGAAACAAACGTTATCTAAATGTCTTCTGATGACTTTACGCAGAAAGAACGTACAGCTCCCTCTGGTCGCTGGTTAATACTGCTGTCAGGTCCGTGGTTCTCTAGCGCACCGACCCAAACCGAGCTGTACCGACCGACCCACTTGGTGGAAACGAGACAAAAGCATCGAGATTTTCCGGGATTGTTGCCGGGACACGGCCGTCGAACACGAAGTAGACAGACTCGTAGCCAGTACTTCCTACCTGCACCCAGTACCTCCCAGTACGCAGGGACACGATGACTCCGGGTCCTACTGGTTCTGAGACATTTTATCTCTTTGCCGACTGAACTCAGCAGGACCTCAGCCCAACTGGGACCAGAATCCTGGATCTAGTCGGTTATTGATGTTCCAGGTGGTTCAGGAGGGAGGTCGCAGTTCTGCAGATTTGTGTGACCTGTAGTTTGTTCTGGGTTCTGAGCTCAGAGAAGTGGGTCCGAGTCTTGCTGTTGATTCTGGTGTTCTGTCCCAAATGATGAATCTTTGTTTCTCCCTCAGATTCCCAGCAGAGGCGGGGCAGTGAGCATGCTCAGATCGCCCCTGGTCACCATGGAGGTCTTCAGCCAGGCCTGCAGCGGTCAGAACTGCCAGACCAACAATGGGTCAAAAGTCTACTGTTACTCGGCCCGGATCCGCAGCACGGTGCTGCAGGGCCTGCCGTTTGGAGGCGTGCCCACCGTGCTCGCCCTCGACTTCATGTGCTTCCTGGTGAGTCGCTGTCAGCAGCTCGGCTCCCAGCATGCACTGTTTCACTGATGAGGAGAAATGTCCTGATCAGGGTGATTCGCTTCCTCCTCCAGGTGCTGCTGTTTGTCTTCTCCATCCTGAGGAAGGTGGCCTGGGACTATGGCCGCCTGGCGCTGGTCACCGACGCAGACAGGTAACCTGCTCACCTGGTCAGATGGGGCTGGCGTCAGTCCCTGAGCGCTGCCCCTTGTGGCCAGAAGTCCAGGAGCAACGTGTCAGGTGTTCAAACTGGGTCCACTTCCACAGAGATGTAAAGTTGCTCTCAGGTTCTGGTTCTAATTCCTGATGAACAGGACTTTGGTCAGAACCAGAACCTAATTAAAATGAAGAACCATGTTTGGACTCAGAGGTCAGATTCTGCTGGAGTTCTGCTTGTTGGGTCTGATAAGGGTGTCGGCGTGGATCAGAGATGGGTGACATGGAGAACATGGAAACCAGTGCTGCTCGTGGTTTGATCCCAGCTGTATGAGAAGCTTCGAGGCTCGGTTTGGTCCGGTTTGGCTGTCTTGAGTTCAGAGACGGGAAGTACATGATGCGCTGCCACACAGGGGCGCCTGAGGGTGTCACAGAAATATAAAAATTAGAACAAAGAGAACCGCCCCAGGTCCTGGAGGTCCACTATCCAGCAGGTCCTAGAAGTTCTTTCAATCCAACACACCTGATTTTAATCAGCAGGTGACCCAGCCACTGAATCAGGTGTGTTAGAGCCAGAGAATCGACTAAAACATGCTGGAAAGGAGGATCTAAGACCAGGACTGGTTGTCCGTGAATTAGAAGAACCATTACAGGCTTGGAGCTAATAAGACACCCCCCCCCTCTCTCTCTCTCTCTCTCTGATGATGCTTTCTTCCCTCTCCCTCTGTTTTCCCGTTTTCCTCCATGTAGACTGAGGAGGCGTTTCGTCCACACGGAGGAGCAGGACTAGTATGTTTGGTTTGCCTCAGGCCTTCTGGGTCCTGCTCTCTGATTGGTGCACTAACACCGCTCCCTGCTGCTCTCCTTCTCACTGTGTCGCGTTTTCTGTGAACCGTTCTAGCTTGGTTCCGTGTCGAAGCTAATCTGAATCTTGTGCGTTTGTAGTCACATGTTTGTGGCTAACGGTGGATGCTAACGGTGGATGCTAACAAACGCTAACGCTTGTTTCCATGTCTAACTCAGCCGAAGACGCGACAGAGACAACTATGAGCCAGTGAAAAGGTAACGGGCTGCTTGTGTTCGTAGCTCAGGGTGTTGTGACCCGTGTGATGTGGTAGAACCCAGCTAGAACCAGCAGCTGTTCAGTCTGATGAAATCAAGCAGCTTCCTTTTGATTGGCTGGTGCCCGGAAGCCTGAGAGGAACTCTGGAACTGGTCAGAAGAAACCTCCAGAACCAGGCGAAGTTTGGGATGAAAACATTGCCGCTGTTTCAGCAGAGGTGGTCCATTCTATTAGGCCCCTCTGCAGTCAGTGTCTAAGAGCACAGAGGTCAAAGGTCAGTGGTACATGCTAACTGTCCTTTTCCTGTTTCTCCACAGCGTTGCCTCAGCGATGCACTCGGAGACTCCGGACCGCTACGAACGTCTCACTTCGGTATCTAGTTCAGTTGACTTCGACCAGAGAGACAACGTAAGGCGCTTCCTCAGACATTCTTCCACCCTCGCAGCTGAGGCCCTGCCCCCAGTAGCATATGCTCCACCCCTCCGCCAGAGCCCCACCCTCCTCATCAAGGCCCTGGCCCAATCTCAATACTCGCACTGCGCCCTGTGGACTTCAGCAAAGTGCGCTCGGAGAAAGTGCGGGGAGCGTTGCGTCATCGATCGCAACGCATGCCGTTTTTTTCAAAAACCTTTATTAACAACTTTTCAACAGCCAAACAGTTATTTGAAATAAATGTGCATTTATTGTTGGTCTGTCTAAAAGTTTTAAAGCATCAACTATTCTCCTGCAGCAATGACTTGTGGGTAATACCCTCGCCTGAGGTCCGCATCGCTGCGGACTTGGGTGAAGTGCAGATTAAGGGTGCAATGGGGGCGTGGTCAACTTCCACACTTGAGAATCGGGACGCCCTACGCACTCGCACTCCTAGTCGGGAACGTGCAGTTGAAGGGTGCAAGTGCGAGTGTTGGGATTGGACCCCTGAACCTGTAGCCTAGGCCCCACCCTCTCCACTGAGGCCACACCCCAGTAGACTTAAGCTCCACCCTCTCTGCCAAGGCTGTCCTCTGTAAGGGTTTCTTCTCTTCAGCTGTTGTTTCAGTCTTCATGTTCTCTTTCAGGGCTTTTGTTCGTGGCTCACAGCCATTTTCAGAATAAAGTGAGTATGAACTTCTCAGATGTTTCAACTTCCCTCTACTTAGATCAAGTCACCCCCAAGTCAACTTTTTTTTCTGATAAACTATATAAACGCGTGTCTAATTGTGCTGCAGACACGTGTAGTCAATAGTTTTGTACTTTAGTGGATTTTAGTTAAAATTGTAATTTTCTGCCTAAAACTGGCAGCGTTGTGCCGTCGTCAGGTAAAAACTCTGCACTGCATTAGAATTTAAATCTGCCACCGCTATTGGCTAAGAGGTATGCTATGATGTAAACTGGTCCTTATGATGTCACAATGCCGTTGTGAGCCTGTGTGTGTGTTTGTTAGCGGCTCCGCCCTCTCGGTCTGCTAGGCAACAGCATTTGTTGCATTTTTCAAACAGGAAGAGGGAGTGAAGTAAGTTTCTTGTAGGGGGTGACTTGCTCTTTAATAAAAATAATTCCTCAAGCTCTAGAGGTCTGCTGACTTTCTAGCCTGTAAAGTTTCTACTGCCATGTTCCGTGAAGGTTCTGATCTTTGTGAACCTCTCACTTCCTGCTGCAGGGACGAGGAGATTCGTGAGAAGTGTGGCGAGGACGCTGTGCACTACCTGTCCTTCCAGAGACACATCATTGGCCTTCTGGTGGTCGTTGGAGTTCTCTCTGTTGGGATCATTCTGCCGGTGAACTTCTCTGGAGACCTGCTGGGTAAGAGCTGCAGCTGAGAACACATCAAACTTCAGATCGGCGTGCGTCTACAGGATCCCTCTCACGGTGTTCTTCCTTTGCATCTGACTGATTTTAGTCAGAATTATCATTAAAGATTCATTCCTGAGCCAAGGACCTTCTGGACCTCCTTCCAAAGAAGGTAAAGGTGCAGAGCTGTAGGCGCTCTGGACCCTGTAGACCTGTGGCTGGTGTCTGATGGTAGATCTGATCATTTCTTCGTGTTGTCGCTGTGGATCAGTAGAGAAGTGGTGCTGCTGTCCTGATGGAAACCAGCCTAAGGATTCACGCCGTCCAGGAATCCTGGGTCAGAGCTAACCCGCCGACTGGTCCTGCCGTTAAACGTGAACACGCTTAACTCCTCAGGTCCGATCTGAGTGAATAAGTCTGATGTCGTTACTTCTGTGCCAACACAAGACTTCTCAGAGCTCTTCACAGCAGGTCCTGTTCAGCGCCGGTCCAGATTCAAGATGATTGTTACTCCATAAAAATGAGTCACGTTCCCCGAATAAAGGAACCAGGTGATTGGATTGAAGCATCCACTGAGTGTAACCACTCCCCACCCCCACCCCCACCCAGTGGGGAGGAAGACTCCCTTCACACAGACAGAGCTGGTGGACTCGGACTCAGGCATGCAGATGGTTGAGATCAGACTCGGTTTTCGACTCGTTTCCCTTACGCAGACTTAATAAACCACATCCGATACTGTGATACTTCTGCTTTAGCAAATCTTCAGAACAAGCTAGCTTTTAAGCACGGTTGTAGAACTCTCCCGCCTCCTGTTGACTATCCTTCTAGTCCACGTCTGTCTGATACCAGAACCAGCGTTGCCACAGTCGCCGTTTTCTACGTCCAAACTTCTTTAGTTGTCCGTGGTGTTTTTCCTTTTGGGACTCTGGTAGTTTCTCCTAAAGTTGAAGTGGTAGCAGCCGGCTGTTTCTCCTTCTCTGATGTTATTGACCGAAGAACCTCTCACACCAGTTATGTTCTGTGCGAGTGTGTGATGAGTGGCGGACCGAGGGGAGTGCAGCGGTTTGGCGGGACTGACAACCAGAATAGTTGCTTTAGGTCCCATTTGTGTTATTGGGGAGGTTTCTAGACAAATGCGAGAGAGTTACTTTAAGCTAGCTTGTTTTCAGATTTGCTATTGTAGCTGTAGCTAACATTTCAGTGTTTGTTTTTGTGAGATTATTATGCTTTACTGATGTTAACCAGATGATTGGTAGGTTTAATTTGTACCGTGCTGCGGGACGAGTAGACGCCGTTTAAGTGGAGATCCTTTGGGAGGGTGGAGGCTCTGATCCTGGTCAGGACCCTGGGTTGCCTTGGTTACGGATAAATTATGATTGTTACTAGTTCCTTTTAAACTGGCCGTCTCCCAGAGTGGCGGGACGGTACGTTGTCTCCTGACAGACATCTTTTCATTTGTTCCAGACAACAACGCCTACAGCTTTGGACGCACCACGATAGCCAACCTGAAGTCTGGGTGAGTCGGGGTCGGGGTCTGCAGGAGAGCTGCACTCCTAGCCTCCACTTGTTAGCCTAGCTAAGCATGTAGAATCGTGGCATTGGATCGGTATCTGTTGGGTTCATCTTAATCCCGTGTTTCCGGATCCTCCAGAACCAACTTGCTGTGGCTCCACACCGCGTTTGCCTTCATGTATCTGCTGCTGACCGTCTACAGCATGAGGAGACACACGTCTAAGATGCACTACAAGGAGGATGACCTGGTAGGCTCGGACCTGCCACAGCAGAACCAGGTTCTGGTCCAGTTTGTATTAAATCCAGTTTTGTGTCTTGCAGGTGAAACGCACTTTATTCATTACCGGCATCTCTAAGTATGCTGAGGAGAGTCAGATCAAGCAGCACTTTGAGTGAGTTCCTCACCTGATCAGACCTGACTGGTTCTGGTTCTGGTTTCACTTATTCTTGCTTGGCGCTCTGCAGGCAGGCATATGACAACTGCACGGTGCTGGAGGCTCGGATCTGCTATAATGTGGCCAAACTGATGGCTCTGAATGCTGAGAGGTGAGTTCTGAAAGTTCCCTTTCTGCTTGTTTTCCGGTTCTGGTCCGTTGTTTGTTTCTGGGCCGTAAAAGTCACATTTCTCCGGTTTATAGGAAGAAGACCGAGCGCAGTAAGAAGTTCTTCACAGACCTGATGGCGAAGGAGCATGTTCCCACCATGATCAACCCCAAACCCTGTGGACACCTCTGCTGCTGCGCCATCACAGGCTGCGAGGAGGTGACCGGGTTTCTATTTCAGCTGCTCGTAGAAACGCCGTTTCTTATGCAACCGAGCTACATTTAGGGCAAGACGAGCGTGTTGAGCTTTGGGTTTGTTCTGCAGGAGGAGGCGGTCAGCTTCTACACCAAGCGGGAGGCTAAGCTGAAGGAGGAGTACAGGAAAGAGAAAGAAAAGGTTCACACCAAACCGCTGGGCATGGCCTTCGTCACTTTCCAAAACGAGTCCATGACCGCCATGTAAGCCCCTCCCTTAAGCGCACGAACACCATCCTTATGCTGTTCCATCTAGTGAAAACCAGATGACCTTTGACCCTCATGATGTAGAATTGTAACTCTGATCAGCTCTTTGGCAATCTCGTTCTCTGCTTGGTCACTCTGCCCCTCTAACTGTCTTCCTGTCTGACCCCACCCCTCTAATGGTCTCTGTTTCTGACTCCTCCCATCTGATGGTATTTCTCTCTGACTCCGCCCCCTCTCCGCAGCATCTTGAAGGACTTTAATGCCTGTCAGGTTCAGGGTTGCCGCTGCCACCAGGAGCCTCGTTCCTCTCAGTTTAGCGACGTCCTTCACGTTCACAACTGGAGCGTCACGTATGCACCTGACCCCCAGAATGTCCGCTGGTTTGTAAACAAGCTCCGCCCACTTCACTTCTCTGAGAACAGCTGATGACTTGTTGCAATCTGCTGGGTTCCTTACACAGGAAACTTTTTACTGATTGGCTTAATGAACAGGGGTCTCGTTTATCAGGCTAGCTTACGCACAAAACGGGTCAGAAAACTGCGTAAGCGACTTTCCACGCAAACTTTGGGATTCATGAAAGAAAACTTAGCGGAAAAATGTGCACAACTTTAAGTTGACTAAGGACCTGGCTTACACACATGTTGGACATGGAGAGCACCTGCAGTGCTGCTGCTGAGAAGATACAATTATGAAATCCTGCAGCATTATCACTTGTACATACACACACACACACACACACACACACACACACACACACACACACAGCCTGAAGTGCAGAATATCAGCAGGGGGACAGATTGAGACAGAATGTCATGCGTCTGTGATGGTGTGTGTGTCCTGTCACTGTGGCCTGATCGATCATGCGTAGGGCTGGGCGATATGGCCTCAAATCTATATTGCGATATAATCTGAAGCATGGGCGTTAACAAAATATATTGCGATATATTTTTTTCCTCTGTTTATATGTAAAATGACGTGCTTTTAAATATCCTCATGTGGCAAATCTATGCCACTTGAGGCATGTAGTCCTCCTCCTCCGCCCACTCCACGCTTGCAGTCACTGCCATTCAGTTGCCCCAGTGTCAGCAGGGTGCGCATCTTAGTGACATCATGTGTTATCGCGATATCGCCAAAAACTCTATCATTACCCAATTTTATATCGTTTATATCGCCCACCCCAATATTGCGCCCTGGCTACTTGTACAGGGGAGATCTCCGTTTGGCTAACTGGTTAGCGCGCGTGACTTTCACTCAGGAGTCTGGGGATCGAATCCCGATTGGACCATTTTTTATATCCGCCACAGATCTCTCTGAAGAAGTCAGCATTGACGGCTTCAGCAACGCTGAGCCACTCCGTGGATTTTCTATTATTTGTTTTGCAAAAGCACTTCCCTTCATTTCTCCACCTCACCCACACGTACCTCAACTTCTGCTTGTGAAATAGCGCTTCCTTGATCTGCCTTGATCTACGGTCGCCATGTCATTGGCGGAGCGCTGCAACATTGACCATTTATGGCAGTAAGTGGGCGTGGTGAGGGCGGGATGTGACTTAGAAACAGCTGAGAACCATTAGTCTCTGATTTATGAAGCGGGGATCGCGTGCGGCCGTGCGTCCTCCATGTTTGATAGATCACACACCTGCTTGGCGTAAGAACATTTTTGTTGCTGAGCTTAAGTACGGTTTTAGAAAGGATTCTACGCCATGTTTGATAAATGAGACCCCTGAGCTGTATTGGAACGTTTACTGTGTGAAGTGCCTTGAGACGACTCGTCAGGATATCGCGCTGTGCTCTATAATTGAATTGATGTCCTCCATGTTGTGGTCTAACAGGGAGAACCTGTCGTTGGGTGGGATCTCTTGGTGGATCCGTTGCTTTGTGATCAACTGCATCCTGTTTATTCTCCTGTTCTTCCTCACCACGCCGGCAATCATCATCTCCACCATGGACAAGTTCAATGTGACCAAGCCTGTGGAATATCTCAACGTAGGAATGATCAAGTTTCCTGTTCTTGGCTCTCCAGCTGTGTTCTGCTGCTCTGAACTTCTGTCTCTTCACTTTCCGTACAGAACCCGATCATCACTCAGTTCTTCCCCACCCTGCTGCTCTGGGCCTTCTCTGCTCTGCTACCCACCATCGTCTACTACTCTGCCTTTTTTGAAGCCCACTGGACCAGGTACCTGCTTCCTCCCACACCGTCATGAACACACGTTTGGATCTGCGGGAAAAAAACAAGCCGAGTCCGAGCAGAACCAGGCTTGATCCAGACTTAAACCAGTCTGTTGCAGGTTCCTGCTGCTAGAAGATGATCTAGAACAGAACCACACGTGAAGATGGTGTTTCTGATCGGGCTTCTGTTTGTTTCTGCAGGTCTGGAGAAAACAGGACAACAATGCACAAATGTTACACCTTCTTGATCTTCATGGTTCTGCTGCTGCCATCTCTAGGACTCACCAGGTAAAAGACAGAGTCTGGACAGGAGAACCGGCTGGTTCTCCGCTCCCGTCACTGAAGCTTCTGTCTCGTTCTTTCCAGTCTGGACGTGTTCTTCCGCTGGCTGTTTGATAAGAAGTTCCTGGCTCATGCTAAAATCAGATTCGAGTAAGTTCTTCCATTTCGTTTAGTAGCTAAGTGTTGCCTGGCTTCCTCCCGTACCTCATTAGTGGAGGGCTAAGCTGATTCCACCTTTAGCTGCTAATAGATCCACGTTCCCTTCAGGTGTGTCTTCTTGGCCGATAATGGAGCATTCTTCGTGAACTACGTGATCGCTTCTGCCTTCATCGGTAACGCCATGGACCTACTGAGGATCCCCGGCCTGCTCATGTACATGATTCGGCTCTGCCTGGCCCGCTCCGCTGCTGACCGCCGAAACGTCAAAAGGGTGAGGCAGCTACTGATAGTGAGGGTGGAGTTGGGTTGCTACTGATTTGGGGCAGTGTTGCCAACTTATCGACTTTGTCGCCATTTTTAACGACTTTTCAGACCCCCTTAACGACTTTTTTTCAAAAAAGCGCCTAGCGACAAATCTGGCGACATTTCCGACCCCCCTCAGCTACTGGGACTACAACTTTGTAGCCGACTTTACCTGCAGATTAGAGATGCATCTGAAGCGACAGGACCGTCCTTCCTTCCAGAGGATCAGAAAGAAAATGATCTGCGCATGTGCGCACAGCATGATCACACTACCCCCGTTGGCCAATCAAACCTTTTGTGGGTTTTCACAAGTCCATTATTTGAGATGGCCACCGGAGCTTCATAAAGGGCGACCCTCGTTCCGCCATCCTGCAGCAGCTGAGCTCGGCTGGCACCAGCGTCGCACTCACACATGGCTTCTCGCACCACTTGTGGTGCATTCAAGGAACATTGGAACTCTATGATGAGTTCAGTAACGTAGCACATTTAAAACTTTTATAAAAAACAGAATAATACTGTAAGACAAACACCTCAGGTCATTGGCGGTTTGCATGTAACGTTTCTGAGTACTAAATACGACCTGCTTCTTTTTACACAAAAGTACTAAAAACAACAAAACCAAACAAAAACTAAATATATATATATATTATCTGTCAGGTCAGTATATAGCACTGAATCACAACAGAAGAAGACACCTCAAGGCACTTGAAAACTACAAGAGAAAATTCAATCATACATACATTCCTATCAGTTTAATATTTTTGTGTTTAAGAGTTCCATTCTCTTCAGACAAAATAGAAATATTCCTTCCATTTTTTTGTGCCGTCTTTCCTTGTTGTTTTAAAGGCTGCTGTTTTGTTTTTTATGGGGTTTTTATTTTAATAAAATATTAAAAAATAAATTTAAATTTTTTTAAAATAAAATCACGCGGGTTTTATTTGATTTACTCGACAAGACCGGTGACATCATCACGCAAACGTGGTGATGTCATCACGCAAACCAGATGACGTCATTGCGCCGTATGCAAAATTAGCACGTGACGTCATCTGGCGACATCTAGCGACTTTTGGGGGGAACTTCAGCTACTTTCAGTCAAAAACAGTTGGCAACACTGATGTGGGGGGTGCAGGTTTCTTGCAGTAGCTGTGTCTTTGGTCTCTGCAGCACCAAGCTTATGAGTTCCAGTTCGGAGCTGCTTACGCCTGGATGATGAACGTTTTCACTGTGGTGATGGCTTACAGCATCACCTGCCCCATCATCGTCCCCTTCGGTCAGTTTCTCACTCACTGCGTCACTGTCAGCAAGTGGCTTCCTCTGCTCATCTCACCTGTCCTCTACAGGGCTCATGTACATGCTGCTGAAACACCTGGTGGACAGGTACAACATGTATTATGCTTACCTGCCCTCTAAACTGGACAAGAAGATCCACTCTGGAGCTGTCACTCAGGTGGTAGCCGCGCCCATCCTCTGCCTCTTTTGGCTTCTCTTCTTCTCCACTGTACGCACAGGTAAGCACTGGTATCCCAGGGTAACGAGCAGCTGCAGCTCTTCATGACTCAGATCAGGTCAAAGCTGGTTTTTGAAAATGGAAAAAAAAAAGGATCAGACAGATTCTGATTTAGAGGAAAAAACTGAAACGTGATGTCAGGTGGTTTCAGGAAGCTTCTAAGTACTAACCTATGCTAAGTGAATACTAATTTACTTTAACCAGAAGCTAACAGATACAATGTGAATGCTAACACGTGCTAACTGCTGTCCCATTATGCTAACTGAATGCTAATGGTTGCTAACTGCAGTTACCTTATGCTAACTGCTGTCACATTATGCTAACTGAATGCTAATGGTTGCTAACTGCTGTTACCTTATGCTAACTGCATGTTAACACTAACTGCTGTCACATTATGCTAACTAAATGCTAATGGTTGCTAACTGCTGTCACATAACGCTAACTGAACGCTAATGGTTGCTAACTGTAGTTACCTTATGCTAACTGCATGTTAACACTAACTGCTGTCACATTATGCTAACTGAACGCTAATGGTTGCTAACTGCTGTTACCTTATGCTAACTGCTGTTACCTTATGCTAACTGCTAACAGGGTTTGAAACACCGACCTCCATGTTCACTCTGGTGGTCCTGGTTGTCACCATCGTGGTCTGCCTGTCTCACGTCTGCTTCGGCCACTTCAAGTACCTGAGTGCCCACAACTACAAGGTAAACCTAGTCGGACCGTGGGCCATTTCTCTTCCCAGGTTCTGTTTCTGACCCTGATCTCTGTTCCAGATCGACACAAAGGAAACCGAAGCTGACGCGGTCAAGAATGGACGTCCTGCTCGTCCTTCGTCATCCCCGTCCACCAAGTCTCAGGTGAGTTCTCGTGTGACAGGCTTTTCAGGTTCTTCAGAACCAGTACCAGACATTTTGTCTAGGTGGTCAGATCAGTTTCTCCATGGAAAACCCAATCGGATGATTTTCTGTCAGTAACCGTAAAAGCCCTTTTCCACCAGTACCTACTCAACTCTGTAGCTCAGGTCGGCCTGGTTCCACGGCATTTCCACCAGGGGATGAAATCTTTGTGGTTGCCATCTCCTTTTCAGTACGGTGGTCCCTCATGTTTTGCGGTAGTTACGTTCTAAAACAAACAATCGTCAAAATCCAAGAAGAAGCAAGCTTTATTACAATTATTATAGACGTTTTTAGCGTACGCAGCTACTGTTGGGGTCTCGCACACACAAACACACGAGATACAGCAGAATAGCTAGGGAGTGGAGTCACTGGTTGCTCCACGGACTTCCGCCATGCTGCTCACGGCCTTTCCCTGGTTTTTCCTTTGGGAATCTGACTAAAGTCAACTGTAAGCGTTCTTGTGTCGGGTATAGAATGCGCTGCTTTTTAGTCTCTGGGGACCATCCGGCTATGACAAGCACCCACCCTCCACTAGAGGCGTTTCTCAGCCAAGCTGTGTAGAAGCGAGTAGGCTCTGGTGGAAAAGGGCTTTAGAGTTCTGCAGCTGTTGTCCTGGTTGGGCCCAGTTGACCCGCTATTGCTTTTACGTGTCCAGCAGCAGCAGGCCCAGCAGCAGCAGATGTACATCGCCCAGGTGCTCCAGGACCTGAACTCGGACGAGCCGGGCGGCGGCAGCAGCGAGGAGGACCGGGGCTCGTCTCAGGACGAGGAGATGCTGAACGGAGGCAGCAGCATCAATGAGGCGGATTTCCAGTCGGGGGAGGACAGTCTGATCGCCAACGAGGTCCACCAGTAGCTGGAGGCGGAGCCAGAGGGGTGGGCGGAGCTAGTCGGCCGTCAGTTAAAAGAAAAGCTGACTGGAGATTCAGTGCTCGCACTCAGACAGTAGTCTGGCTCGGTTAGCTCCGCCCCCTCTCAGCCTGAAGACTCGACCCTGACCTTTGACACCAGCGCCACCATCCAGCCGCTCACAGGAAGTCACTGTACATAACCACAAAGCCAAACCCGTTTCAGTTCTTTGGGTCTGCGTAGACGTGGCTGGCCTGGATTCTGTTTGTTCCCTCTTGTGTTTGGACTCCTGATGGTTCTGTGGGTCATCAGAACCCGTCCTGTTCCTTGCCCTCGTCTGGTGGATATCCCCAAACCATCCCCAGGCGCTGATGCCGTCCCAGTATTGGACTGCAGTTCTTGTAGATATAGAACCCACGCTCCAGTTGGACCAGAACGGTACCTCTGTCCCGCCTCCCTGTTCTGTTCTGCTCATCTCCAGGATGTTCTGTTGTTCTGACCCATTCAGCTTCATGCTGCATGTTCCTAAAACAATGTCACCTCAGTGGGACAGGTTCCGGTCCGAATCCTGGTGGTTCTTGCTGGATGAATATTCTTTACCTGAACCAGCAGACCGATTTCATTTCACCTGGACGTTCTTAAAGGGATCAGAGCGGTCCAAGTCTGCGGGTTCTGTGAGACTCTTGGACTCTTTCAGCAGCAGGATTGGGTTTTGAGTCGGCTCAGAAGAGCAGCGCCTTTTCTCCAGTCGGTCCGACCCGGCACCTGAAGTTGTCGGGGCTCTCGATGGATATGTGCGTGTGTGTGTTGTAGCTTATTGTTCTCCAGTCTGCACCTTGTGTGGTTCCAGATCTGCAGGCATCCAGAACCAGCACCAGCAGTTCCAGGTCCCCCCAAAGGGGTCATTAGTTCTGCTAAATGTTCCATCTGTGGTAGAAAAAGTCCAGAACATGAGGGGCAGAGTCATTTCCTGGTTGTTGATGCCCCGCTCCACCCCATCTCCTATCAGAACCTCCTGGTTCCTCACCTGGAACATGTTGGAACGTTCTTTGACCCAAATGACCCATTTTCCATATGTGCCAATTATTGTTCTGCAGGTCTGCCTCTGGTTTCAGTTAGCGATGGAACCACAGATGGGTCGGAACCACGTTGTCTCATAAACTCTAGTCTTCACTGTCGAGTACACTGAGCTGGTTCTGCTTGGTAACAGAACCCTGTAGCCCCTCCCCTCCAAGTGACGCATACCAGCGGTGTTCAGGGAGCAGATTGATGGGCGGAGCCTGGTCAGATGGCTGATGTCCAAATGTACTGAGAACAAGTCTTGACATGGTTCTGTTTGGGGACGTCGTAGAACTCTGTGACTGTAGGCTCACCTGAAGTTCTGCGGGTTGTTGGCGCCAGAAGTTTGCCGGTTGTTCTCCGTCCTTCTAAAACTGGGTCAGAACTGGACCGGTTCTGTCAGCCTCCAGGTCTCGTGTTCTAACCAGAACTCCCACTTGTTTGGGTTGGAACTACATCATGCTCCTGTTTCTGTCTGAGCTCTGTTACCATGGCAACGGGAAACGGTGGCGCGGCGACGATGAAAAGTCTCAGGTGTTCGTTTTTCATCTATTAATGTTTACATCAGTTTGTTGTTTTGTTCTGCACTGTGTGTGTGCGTGCGTGTGCGTGCGTGTGTGTGCGTGTGTGTGTGTGTGTGTGTGTGTGTGTGTGTGTGTGTGTGTGTAGCACAGAGCTGGACAATGAAGGCTGCAGCCGTCAGGACTCTGCTGTCCGATGTTCGGCGGCTGACCACGTGAGAACCTGCGGCGTTTGTGTAGTTGTGTTACTTCAGCCTGGTTCTGGTGAAGCTGCAGGTTTTGCTCCCAGCGGGTCCGAGGTCCCAGTCCAAGACTCAAAAGTTCAGCTCAGCACCTTTAAACCTTCTGGACCAGACTTGGTTTTTAAATTTCTCCCACCGGTTCGTCCCAGGATCCACTTAGTCCCTCGGATGTTCCCTGGAGTTAAAACCTGACCCCACTCTGGGTCTGACCCAGCTGTTTGACCCTCAGAACCTCCTCCAGGAGACTCATGCTGGTCTGGGTCAAACCAGTTCAATTGGTTCTGGTTCTTAGGAGCTGAGCTGAAGCTGAGAGCTTCTGTCATTAAAAGAAGTCTGTGTGATATTTTTGTATTTTGCTGACTGAAGTATTTGATACCGAACACGTGTTAAAGACTAAGCTGTGACGACGCTGTTGAAGGTGTTTAAAAATCAGCCACTTTTTGCTTTTTTAGTTTTTTAACTTGTTGAACTTTCTGAAGTGCGAAATCAAGAATGTGACGATAATGTGAGCTGAAAGCTGCACAAAGTTAAAATGTGGAACGATGAAATGCGTGTAAATAGCCATCCAACCGCAGCGTCTCCTCGGCAACCCTCAGCTTCATTTCATGATTTAATTTATTGCTACGACACTATTTATTTCTACTCTGTATGTTCAGTGAAACATTTGTCCTATTTATGTTCCATGATCAATAAAACTGGCTCCCATCTGCAGAGACGCCCTGTGTGGTTACGGGTGACCAGGTCGTGCGTCAGACCTGCAGGAACGTCCCAGGGACCGCTTCTATGTTATCCTGCTGCTGCAGCATTGTTGCATGACTTCTAGTTCTGCAGGTTTTCTAAGTCTAATTTTAAATCAAAACGTTAAAGAGCAAGTCACCCCCTACCAGAGTCTTACTCCACTCCCACTTCATGTTTGAAAAATGCAACAAATGCTGTTGCCTGGCAGACCGAGAGGGCGGAGCTGCTAACAAATACACACACACACAGGCTCAGGACAGCATTGTGACATCATAATGTACCAGATGACATCATAGCATACCTCTTAGCCAATAGCGGTGGCAGATTTAAATTCAAATACAGTGCAGAGTTTTTACCTGACAACGGCACAACACTGACAGTTTTAGGCAGAATATTTAAATTTTAACTAAGATGCACTGAAGTGCCAAATTATTGACGACACGTGTCTGCAGCACGATTAGACACTCGTTTATTTAGTTTATCAGCAAAAAAAGTTTATTTGGGGGAGACTTGCTCTTTAAGCTCAGCTCTTTGTGTTTTTTTTTTATAATTCTTTCTGCAAAATTCAAATACACTGAAAAACCTTTTAATTCTTTTAGATTTAAAACCAACGTTTCTGCTCCTCAAACTTTGACCATTTCTGCTCATTTCAATCTTGATTCAAGACTTTAAGCTGCATGATTCCGGTTTTTTCTTCGTGTTTTACATTTCTCCTCACTGCTAAGATCATCGCTCCTCTCCAACTTTCCGGTCAGGGTGATTTTCCAAAACTTTAGTTAACAAACTAGCTACTTCTGAACCATTTACACTAATGAAATAAATGATAAGAGATTTACACACATGAACACTGAAATTTCCTTTTCCTCATTGAGAGAGAAACAGGTCCTATCTTGGAATAGAATGGAATAGACTTTAATAATCCCACAGAGGGGAAATTCACTTGCTCCACTTAAAGAAAATAAAGAAGGAAAGGATCAGATTACAGGTAAACACACCTTGGCCATACGTTATTATTGTAAACTCCAACCACTAAAAACAACGAATAAAAAGAAAACGTTGGTTTCCAAAACTATGTGCACATACTAATGTACATTCTCAGCCTGCGTCGCATAAATGTTTAGCCGAAAAAAGGTAAAACGTCATAAAAAATGCTGAAAAAGCACCACAACCATCTTTTTTTGTTCTGTTACCAAGAAACCTTCAACGATGGCTGCCTGCAGCTCATTTCCCCACCAGCAGGGGCCGCTGTGGCTCATGGGAGTGAAAATAAACAGAAGAAGAAGAATAACTTCCGGTAGTGCAGACGAGGAGCCTGTTAGCATCTGGCTAACTGAAGTCAGACCCAACGTGATGTCGGCAGCCTCCAAAGTGGTTCTGGGTGTTTCTGTGCTTCTGACGCTGGGTACCGTGGCAGCGGTCCATTTAAACCAGGCCTGGGATCGAGAGGTGAGTGTGCGAATCGAGCCGGTCCAGCAGCAACCGAACTACAGGACATTTAACCTGACCTCTGACCCAAAACCAGCGTAAATAATTTTCCTGTAAGGAAGTGATAGAAATAAACTGGCTGGCAGCTCACAATGTCCCGGATGTGAGATGATTACCCATAATTCACTGTTGCACAAACAGCTCATACCCCAGCTGTCAACATGGTGGTGGAGGGCTAATGGCCTGGGCCGGTTCCACAGGAGTCCAGCATCCTGATATCTAACACACACACACACACGAGTCTGTGACAACACAGCAGCAGATCAACAACAGAACCAAGGTGCAGCGGTCCAGCCAGAATCTAGACCCGAACTATGTGAGAAACGGACCCATATTTGTGTTACTTCTGCTCTGCAGGAGGAGCCTCTTTGTGCTTATGGTTCTGAGTCTCTTGTAGGCCCTTTTATCTTGCACTTGGGTTCAGATTAAAGCCGATGTGACTCCGCAGCAGGGCCTGTTGTCACGTGTTGTTTTTAATGACCCTGCAGAGGCTGCGTGAGGGTGTGGTTCAGGATCTGGAGCGGGTGGAGAGGAAGAAAGAGAACCTGAGGCTACTGGAAGAGCAGAGGATTCTGACCAGACACCTGGAGGAGGAGCGGAGGAGAGGAGAGGAGAGGCTTCAGTCACAGGACACCTGAGGCAGGTCAGGAAACATGGTCATTCAGCTGTGTTTGCTTGTATAGAACAAAGATGACATGAAGGACCAGAACTTCTCTGTCTGGTTTGATCCAGTTTGAACCTATTGTTGTATCTGAAATGTCCACATGGGTCTTCTGGATGGACAAATAAGAGAGTGCCTCTCTGACCCATGTAACCTCCACAGGTGCCCAGAGATGGACAGCAGCAGTGAGCAGCTGGCAGCGGCAGAGGACGAGGCGGCTGGAACATCCGCCTCTGAGGGTCTGGAGGAGGGCGAGGTAGAGGGGGAGACTCTGCTGATCGTAGAGTCTGAGGACCAGGGCTCCGTAGACCTGTCCCACGACCAGAGCGGGGACTCTCTGACCAGCGACGTGGGCGAGGAGACGGATGGAGGCTGGGCCTGTGAGGACATGTCCTTCTACTGCGAACGTTGCCACAAGTGGATCCCTGCAGGTCAGCCAATCACAGCACAGCATGGAGGACCGTGTGTGTGTGTGTGTGGTTGCTGCGATCCTAAAGGGTTTTGTCTTTCTGACCCGGTTCTGGTCCAGCTGAGCTCCACGGTGACCAGCCCAGTTACCTGAAAGGAGACAACTTCTTTAAGTTCTTCTGCTCCGAGTGCTCTGAGGACAGGAAGGAGAGCTTTGAGAGGATGAGGCTCACCTGGCAGCAGGTATGACCCAGACTCAGCAGGGCAGGTACCACACACACACACACACACACACACACACACACTTCCTGCTTGTTAAACAGGAACATCCTGTGTTCAGGTGGTGATGCTGGCCATGTACAACCTGTCTCTGGAGGGGACAGGCCGGCAGGGTTACTTCAGGTGGAAGGAGGACATCTGCGCTTTCATTGGCCGCCACTGGAACTTCCTGCTGGGGAACAGGTGAGTTAGAAGTCATGCCGGAGACCCTGGCCAATCAGAGTTTAAGGCTTCCCTTTCAAACCTGAGCTGTTTGACCCACTTTAAACATCCACAGTTGCACAGATGATGGAGGGAAGATGGGTTTCCAGGGCCAGGAAACATCCCAGCCCCAATCGATCCCGTTGAAAGAATCATCACAAGTTCTGCTGAATCTTTAACTCGGATCAGTGAAGATGCTAATGATGTTTGCAGGAAGAAGACGTCAACGTGGTGGAGCACAGTCGCTGGCTGCCTTTCTGTCGGAAGTCCCACCTTCTTCCGCTCTGGTGCGCAGGAGTTTGGAGAACCAGGCTGGTGGAAGCTGGTCCAGAACAGACCTCCCACCTTGAGACCGGATGGGGACAAATCCATCGCTAAGGTCAAAGGTGAGATGCATTGTCACAGTTATGTTCAGGTGAGAAAGCTCCGCCCACTGATCCATTGTGTCGTTCACTCACAGTCTCTAAACCGGTGATGGACCCGATTATTACGGTGGAAGGTCTGAGGAAACGTGGAGCCAGGAACCCGGTGGAGAACGCCATGCAGCTGAAGGAGAAGCGTTGCCGCACACAAGAGGCCAAAGACATCCGCCGAGCCCAGAAGGAGGCAGTGGGAGGCTACGTTGACCGCAGCTCCTCCTCCACTCCCGTTAAGCTAAGCGGAGGCCGCGGTGGGGGTGCCAGTCGCCGGTCTGAGGTGGTCCTGGAAAAAGGCGAGGTCATCGAGTTCTCATCCCTCAGCTCCTCGGACCGAACACCGCTCACCAGCCCATCTCTGTCTCCATCGCCCGACTTCTCCGCTCCGGGAACGCCTGCCTCTCATTCAGCCACACCCAGCCTTCTTTCGGAGGCGGACCTAATTCCGGACGCCATGCCGCCACAGGCATTATTCCACGGTGAGTCATTTCATCCTCGTGCTGGGCTGTGGTGTCAGCTGTGATGTCATCTCCTGTCTGCCTCCCTCTTTCAGATGACGATGAGATTGAAGGGATGATTGACCCAGGGGTGGAGTACATCCCTCCTGCTAGCACCAGCCATGTTGGCCGTAAGAAGCTCCGCCCAGCGGCGCCATCCCACATCAAACGGGAAGCTGAGAGTGAAGACGATGATGGCCACCAGAACGAGGACTCTCTGGAAGAGCCGGCAGAGGCCCCGACTCTTTCCTGCCGGGGTCCGGTTGGCGTCAGAGCAGCCGAGCGGCGGAGGGCGACTCATCCTGAGAAATCTAACGAAGTGGCTGTCCTTCGGGATCCGGGCCTGGTCCCGCTCAGCCTGTACGAGGAGCGGCTGCTGCTGCTGCGGCTGGACGCCTGCCCGCTGGCGCTGGCCGTCACTCCACATGCCAAACGCCTCCACAGGAAGCTGCTGGTCCGCCAGACCAAACGCCAGAGAGGGCTCCCCCTGCTAGACGTTGACCGAGCAATCAGCGCCACCCTCAGCCTGGTGGGAGGCATCTATGATGCGCAGGAGGCGGGGGCACATGTGGAAGGCGGGGCTAAGAAGAAATACTGCAGCAGCCGCCAGGAGCAGCGGATTCTGGATCGTTTTCAGGTCTCTGCTTGTCTCCTCAACTCCAAACCTTTAGAAGACGTCCATATTTCACATCAGCAGCACGTTCCAGCTGTTTCTCACTCGACCTTTGACCTTTTTGTGCCGTTTCTCCCTTGAAAGCTAACACCATCGGCTCAGATTCAGCTTTGGTCTCTGAACCCATCTGTGTGTTTACAGACCAGCGTCTCCAGCCGAAGGCGTGTCCAGCACAGCTCCGTGTCCTTTTGGCACCGTCTGATGGGAGCTGAAGGCAGTTTGGACAAAAGCATCAAGAGTCCGTACACGTCCCGCCTCCTGAAACCGTTCATCAGGTAGGCCAGTCTGAAAACTTTGTCTTACCTGCTGGAGTACGAAAGCCTTACAGGTGGCGCTCCAGAGGTGCCCAGGCCCAGGTATCACGTAGAAGCTGTGTGCTCCACAGGAGGGATTACGAGAGTCGCCCGGTGAAGCTCAGGTTGCTGGAGGAGATCAGAGCATACCCCCACAGGAAGGATCCAGACTGGGTCGCTGAACCGGACGCCCCCATTGACTACTGCTACGTCAGTCCCTACCACATCCCCTCCGTCAACGCCATGTGCCAAGACACTTTCTGGCCAGGTAACATGGCTCCGCCTCCCTCCTTTGCTTGCGCCTGTCAACCACGAGTCAAACCTCCAGGTGTGTTCCTGCAGGTGTGGACCTGTCTGAATGCCTGCAGTACCCAGACTTTAGCGTGGTGGTTCTCTATAAGAAGGTGGTGGTTGGCTTTGGTTTCATGGTGCCAGACGTCAAGTACAACGAAGCCTACATCTCCTTCCTGCTGGTCCATCCGGAGTGGAGGCGGGCCGGCATCGGGACTTTCATGATCTACCATCTCATCCAGGTGAGTCCTGTTGGGGCGGGCAGGTAGTTTACACGAGAAAGCCTGGACCCTAACAGCTGTTGTGCCTTCAGACGTGCATGGGGAAGGACGTGACGTTGCACGTGTCGGCCAGGAATCCGGCCATGCTACTCTACCAGAAGTTTGGCTTCAAGGCCGAGGAGTACATCTTGGACTTCTATGATAAATATTACCCTGTGGACAGCACCGAGTGCCGCCACGCCTTCTTCCTGCGGCTGCGGCGCTGACGCCTCCACCCTGTTCACCAGGCTGCGTAGACCTAGATCCATACGAGTTGTTGTTGATCAGCTGATTAAACTTTTCTGTTGTTGGACTTTTCTTGTGCTCACCTCGTTTTAGACGTTACTCGTCGCACAAAGAAAACAACTTTTAAGTTGTTAGTAAAGTTTTTACACAATGGCATTCTAGCAGGGAAGCCTGATCGGTCCCCTCCTCCGTCACCTCCTCCATCTCCTCGGGTGGAACCTGGGACCTTACCCAGGCCTTTCTCCATGTGAGAACCATTTCTAGAGGTGCTGATCCTCACCCCAGTCAAGAGCTGAAGTTTGACGTAGCTAGGAGAGACAAGATCCTCCTGCCACCCTCCACTCCATGGCTGCACCTAGAAAATCTGTCCAAGGTTCTGCACAGAACCGGTGACAAAAGGCGGCAACTCACTGTGAGCAGGTCCAACTTGGGAATTAATGTTATTTCAAAGCTTTTGGACTTTTCAGTATCTGTTGTAGCATCCTGAATGTCCTGTTTTTGACCTAAAGGTCATGATCTGCTGCGTCTGCTCGAGCAGAGACATAAAGTCTCTGACAGGCTAATCTACATGAGATAGTGGCCAAGGTCTTTCATGCACTCTGCTCATCTGACCTGCTTCACCTCTGTTACAGCTCAAGACGAGGATGAAGAACTCTTGATAAAGACATAATCAACAACTTTGTTATTACCAATAATAATTTGAGCCCAATGTTCAGTCAGTCTGTGAAATGACAATGTTATTACTTGATATTAGTCCTATGATCAGTAGTATTTTACAAGTAATTATAATCCTGGACATTTGCACTAGACACGTGATGTCACAGAGTAATGCTAAAGTCACACGACACATTTCCTGTTGTCTGATCCAATCAGAGCCTTCGTTTCTGGCTGGGCGTGGTTTTCTGTGGTGTTTGTAGAAACCCTCTTTTTCATGTCAAATTCTGATTCACCAGTAAACCAAAATATGACGATTATAAAAACTCTCCCACGCCACCTTTTCTTTAGTTCAAGCGTTCTAGAGAAGTCCCGGACCGGCCATCCGGACTTCCTCTTCAGCCAAAAGAACCTCGACAAGCTGGATAAAATCTGTTGCAGTTGGACCTGACCACAACGGTTCCTTCAGAATAAAAGCTGAACCTCAAGACCCCTTCAGGGTCTCGGAGACGCCAGTGATAACCTGTCGTGACCTGGAAGCATTCCAAGACTAGTCTGGTCGGCGCCGCTGCTTTTCTACTGGCTTCGGTACCAAGGAGGGTCCAAGAGGACCTCGACATTCTGGATCTAACGGAGGCTTCCCCTGGGGTACGTAGACCGACAGATGGCGTCTCATGTGTGTTATAAACCTCCTACTAAAGTTTAGAGTGAAACATTCACTCCCACTCAGAACTAAATGCTTCTCCGGATCCGCTGGTTCTGATAACATTCCACACACACACCATCATCATTCATCACGTCTCACTCCACCTTAGTCCATCAGTACACAGAGTGTTAAAGTTAGTCTTGTTTAAATTGTGTAGAAATAAATTTCTTAACTATTATAAACCTGACTCTCTCTCTTTCCTTGGAG